ATCTATCGTGGGATGAGACCCGCCACTCCCGTGAATCCCACGGCTAAAAAATGCCGCTGGCATCTGTGACATAACCTATCTCTGCTTCGCTTGGCGACACGTTGATCAGAAAAACACGCGGAGATCGTTTTTGTCCCGTACGAGAGACAGACGTATCGTGTTTCACGCGATGGATACGTGCCACGCGCTCGCTATGTACGACATTCGTTTAAGGTCAAACAGCCTCCTCGAATTGTTGGACGGAAGACAAGGTGTGCACGCGGTTTATACGCGTGGTATGGTCATTGACGCATCAGGTGTCAGTCACCTCGAAAGGGTACGCGAGTCTCACGTGTGCGCCTTGTACGTCCGTTTTCGAGATCAATCCCGAAACACGTGCCAGGATTCCAGCCATTTTCTGCGTTCTTTTATTCTCGCGAACGCCCCGTTCGAATATGTCGCGTAACATAGGAATTAAAACTCACCAGCTTCTTGTCACGGATTCTCCCTGCTCGTCCTTCCTTCTCGTCGTCGTTCTCTTGCTCGTCCTCGTTGCCTTTCACCGTTTCGCAACGTGTCAGCGATGGAATCGGTCGAATACCAGGATTGAGAGAGTCACTTGTCACGATTACGGTACACGAGAATCACTACGACGAAACTGAACGAAGAAGTGAAATGTCCTTTACGCGTACCGGTACGAACACACTACGAAACGCGGTACGAGCACGACTGCTCCACACCGTACCATGGATCAGCTGCTACTATCGCAGCGCTGTCGCGCGTCGCGGCACGCGCTCGAACTAAGTGGTGGGGGAAGGGCGGGAACGCGCTAGTCAAGTGTAATATTGGTTGCGTTGCGAGGTCGAAACGAGATCAATGGAGATTGCGATTGAAAATAATCGATAAACCACAAATATCCTCGATTTATGGATAATAATTAAAGAAATACTAATATATTTGATATGTATGAAACTATTGAATTATTATGTGATGCTTTTACCTGTAATTTTATACGATGGTGTTGTTAATGTATCCTCAAATATTCGAATTAATGGTACTTATTTTGACACACTGAACAGTTGCAGCAATTTAATCTAATACTTATTTGATACAATAATTATTTTGCATCGATAGCTTGACTTGCAATTGGTAATGTTGAACTTTAACTTGTGCATTATCATCAGTCGATGATACACGAATGTTCCGATATATTAAATTATAACAATTTATATAATTTTTCATATTATTTACTGCTTAATAATAATTTGTGTTCATAATTTTTTTATATAATTTTAAATATTTTCAAGTATATCTGCTGCTGATAAACACATTCATACCGACGAAAAGCATTTTATAAAATAGTGCAGTAAACGGTTGTTTCGTCACAGACGAGTTAAAACAATGAAATATTTCGTTAAAGAAAACTATTTAAAGAATGGATGTTTTGTAAAAGGAAGTAGATCTGGTACGTAAAAGAAAAATATATACGGTGTAAAATGCTGTAAAACAATACTGGTATATTATAACCTTTTGTATAATACATTTTGTACAGTTATCTTACAATAAATAATTATATTCCTTCTTCCTCCTAATGTTGAAATCTTTTCTTTCATTACTGTGGTGTCCTGGGAGGTCTATCTGTAATTTACACAAAATTCAAATTGTTATATAACAAGAAACATTAATTATTCTTCAATTAAAGTACTTGGAAATAAGTCAGAAACTGTATTTTACTATCTACATTACTAATAATGTTAAATCAATCAAAAATTGATTATAAATATCAATTAAATATAATACGAATAACGATGATAGCAATAGCGAAGAGAGATAAGGAAACGGATAGTGGTAGACAAGGATAGCATTAAAGAAATGAGTTAGCCAACGACAGAAAATTCAAAAGGTGTAACTAACGCCATCTAGCGTCACAGAAGTATTAGACAAGGAAAGCACTAGTGTGCGACAAAGACAGAGAGAGAACGCTTCCCATTGGCTGGCGGGCCGCAGAGCTCCGCCTCCTAGGGCCCCAACCACGTAGTCCGGTGAAAAATCATTAATAACTCAATAATTACGAAGATATTGTGAATTTTTAGAATTGAAGAATGAAGTATAAGCATTCAGCAACTTTCTCATATAGTTTTTAATGCATTAGACCCTTCCAATAATTAGTTATTAACAATTATTTTGCAGGGTGTCAACAGCGATACCGCACACCATTCCGGTTTTTCATTAATTTCGTAGCTATGCGCAAATAATATATGCATTTTCATATATGCGTTCAAAAGGTGATTCCTTTAGCTAGTTTCTCGTTATATTTTCATTAACATATCTGTCGTAATTTGCGAGATATTAAACATTATTTGGGTAAGTACTACGCTCGTCGTATTCAAGCGTAATACATTTCCATAATTTTCATTAATAATTCCATAATTACAATGAATATGTGAACTTTTAAAATTGAAGAATGAAGTGTGGACCTTCAGCAACTTTCTCATTAGTTTTTAGTGCTCTACACCCTTTCAATAATTAGTTATTAACAATTATTGTGCAGAGTCTCGGTAGCGATACCGCACACTCTTCTGGTTTTTCATTAATTTTATAGTTTTGCAAAAATATTTTATGCACTTTCATACATGCGTTCGAAAGGGTATTCCGTTAGCTACTTTCTCGTTATATTTTCACTAACATATTCGGTTTAATTTAAGAGTTATTAAACATTCTTTGGGAGAGTTTTGCACCCGTCATATACAATCGTAACACATTTTCGTTATTTCAATAGAAATGTGTGACTAATTATGCACTTTAAGGCATGCAGAATGTAGAACGGACTTTTATCTATATTCTGCAATTAGTTTGGTAACCATCAGTGATGTGGTTTATTAGATATTACCAATTGTTTACAACAGTTGGGTATACTCGAGTACGATGAACAAGGGACGCTCCCATAAAATATTTAATAACTTCTAAACTAAAGCAAATATGTTAATAAAACTTATATGAGAATCTAGCCAAAGGAGTTGCCTTTCAGATGCGTATAGCTAGTTGCACGAGAATTTAGTGGAAAACTATGAAATTATTGAAAAACCGTGAACGTGTTACACTCGATTATACAAGTCGCATTCAATAGTAACATATTTTCGTTATTTCAATAGAAATGTGTGGCTAATTATGCACTTTAAAGCATGCAGAATGTAGACTGGACTTCCATCTATATTCTGAAATTAGTTTGGTGGCCATAAGTGGTGTGGTTTGTTAGATATTAATAATTGTTTATAACAGTCCGGTATATTCGAGTACGATGAATAGGGGACGCTCCCGTAAAATGTCTAATAACTCCTAAACTAAACCAAATATGTTAATAAAAATTATATGAGAATTTAGCCAAAGGAGTTGCCTTTCAGATACGTATAGTTAGTTTCACGAGAATTTAGTAGAAAGCTGTGAAATTATTGAAAAACCGTGAAGGTGCTTGACGGTATGCGGTATCGTTCCCGACATCACGTACTAAAATTGTTAATAACTAATTATTGGAATGGTTTAGAGCATTATAAACTATACGTGAAAGTTGCTGAAGGTCCATGCTTCATTCTTCAGTCCTAAAAGTTCACAAAATCATCCTAATTAATGAGTTATTAACGATTTTTCATCGATCGACTTAATCTGGGGCCTGATAGGTGGAGCTCGGCGGCCCGCGGACCAATAGGAAGCGTTCTCTCTCTATCCTTGTCGCACACTGGTGCTATCCTTGTCTAATACCTCTGTTTATATTCTGTTATCCTATTAAGAAATCGTAGTTCGCATCACCAGACGCGAGATGGCGTTAATCCCTCCCACAATTTTTTTATCCTTGTCTAACACTATATCATTCCTTGTCTAACTGATTGCTCTAGTGTTATCATTCTGTACCTCTATTTCTTTCCTTGTCTAACCCGTTTCTCTAGTGCTATCTTTGTCTACTGCAATTTGTTTCCTTGTTTTTCTTCGTTATTGCCGTCCTCATCAACCCTATTATATTTAATTGATACTCATAAGCAATTTTTAATTGCTTTAACATTACTAATAATGTAGATAGTAAAATAAAGTTTTGCCTTAGTTTTCATCACTATTGGCTGATTAACAACGAGACGTCACAACTGAAATGGCATTTAAATCCTTTGACATTTTGAAGTTCAGTGTTATCAAGCCTAATACGTTTCAAATAAATGAAAAAATGTGTTTTTAATGAGGATAAAGAATAAAATGTATGAAAAAGATTTATTTTATTTAATATTTAACCAGTAGAAAATAATGATTTGTATGATGCTTTCAACGGTTCATTTAAAACGCAATGCAATAGAAAAGTGTCAGGTTCTTAAAATTGTTATCCTTTTTAAATTAATATATAGTGATATTAATGTATTAACATGCTGTATTTCATTGTAATGATAAATAATACATTTAGTCAATCAATTCGTGAACTTTTACATACTTTAAAAGGAATTTCAATCCGATTAAATTTTAGAAATCACAGTGAAACTGAATCAAGTAGTAACTTTAGACGTGGGAAGATTTTACGTGCGGAATAAGTATCTTGCTGAGACTCTGCAAATTAAAAATTTATTGCTTCTGTGGAACCGGTGAAAATATTCTTAAAGCATGTTAAATATCACTGTATTAAATATAAACGATATTTTTCAAAAATTAATAATCTCTTGATTATGTATTTCTGATAAAGATCTAACCTATCCTTCTGCCACTAAGTCGGTCTAATGTCACTTTTAAAAATAACAAAGCATTTTATTATGTCAAGCGATTAGAAGTCGTTAATTTCGAACGCGTTGTGTATAATGAAATTTTTGAATCGATATGTAATGCTGTTTTCTAGTAATTTAAGCAATGAACTTGTGTAATATGCATACGAAATTCATTAACATGTAAATGTTCCTTTTTTTAATAGAATATTTATATACGCATAGTAACCATCAGTTACTTACCTTTATCTTGCTTCCAAAAAAAGGATGCTTCTGGCATCTGTAATTGAAATGATGACTCAAGAAAGTCAACTGGATACAGATGTAGATGTTTATTTTATTGTGCCTAGCAAATATAATTCTGAAGATGATTGTAATGAGGATATGTGGAATGCACACAGTGTTAGTAAAGATATCCTTGCATGAACAAAACCATTTAGGCAATAAAAATATACTTTTGTCTATTGCTCTTTCAGAAATGTTATGAATATGATATACAACCAATGTGGATCAATGAAAAAAAATGTGATGAAATGAAACCTGTTAAACATGATGTCTTTGTAATGGAAGAATTTGAAGGTGACACATTTAAAAAGTTAAAGACATTCAAGTGTTCGTAAGTAGAACTTTAATATTCCAATATTTTAGTACTACTCATTTTATAAAAAAATGCAACAGTGCAGCCTTACATACTATTTCATTTTTACAGTATAGTTGGGCCTAGATGTTTACTGCTTTGTTTTATTAATCGAGAACCAATACCAGAAGGAAAAAGTCCAGTATTTACAACAGCCATGAGAGGTCTTTGTATATGTGCTTCTGGCTTACCTCTTGAAGAAAAAGTATATTCATTAAAAATTGTTATTTCTAAATGGTAAAATTGAAGATATTTAAAAATCTCATAATTTCAGGAACATATAGAAAATTTGGTAGAATATATGGGAGGTATTTTTACAAAACAATTACGTAGTCGTGTAACACATCTTGTAACAGCATCTGTCTTGTCTGCAAAGTATGAGGTAAATAAATTTTAGAATTTAAATGACATCAACAATTTTATAAAATTTATTTTTTAATAGACTGCAATAGATTTGGGAATACCAATATTCACAAAGGAATGGGTTGAAGCAATTTGGGAAGCAAATTTAAAGGATTTTGTTAAAGCAGATGACACTAGGTTTCATAAATATAAGGCTTCTGTGTTCCTCAATTTAGTAGTAACATCAACAAATCTTTCAAGACGTCAGAAAGAAGAGATTAAACACTTAATTAATGATAATGGAGGGGTAATACATATTTTCTTCAAATTTCCCTTTCATTCATTTATTATACTTTCATATTATTATTCTTTCAGATATTTATGGGTCACTTAGATGGTGCAAAAGTTAAAGTTGTTCTTGCACTTGAAAATTGTCCAATAAGTGAAAAGCTGAAGTATGCAAAACAAGCAAACATTCCTTGTCTAACACCAAATTGGGTGTATGAAAGTATAAAAGTTGGCTATGCTTTACCTTTTAAAGATTATATAATTAAATCATTAAAAGCATATTCTACTCCAGACAAATCAAACGGTAAAAGTTTTTGTATTAATATCATATATCTACAGTTTCATAACTAATGTAATAATTTTTTAAATTGTAACAGTATATGAAAGTCTCAATTGTTCTGCAATAAGTTATATACAGTGTGATGTACCACAAGGCAATTGTATAGATGAAAGCATGTTAACAACAGTGAGCAATGCTTCTTCCATAGATGCACTAGGTAACAATGTTTCTACTGGTTAGTAATATGAAATACACAAAATATTATTTACATTGATGATAAATTTAATTTTTAATTTGTTTGAATTATTTAGCTTCTACAGCTTCAGTTTTGGATAGACTTACGTTTAGTGAAGCAAAATCGGCTGGTCCGTTTTTAGATGGTTGCAGTGTATGTAAATTAAATACCTATTCAGACTAATACCGTCACGTAACATTTCTCTAATCAAATAGTTTATGTTTTAGATTTACCTTGCTGGGTTTGTTTCTAATCAAAGGGATAAAATTAATAGAATATTGAACGTAGGTAGTGCAACACGACTTGATGATATGTCCGAAGCTCTAACACACGTTATCGTCGGAGATGAAAATAGAGCAGCTAGTGAACTGAAATTAATGAAATCAAAAGGATTATGGTATTATTATAAATTAATCTTTAAACTAATGTTTAGTTTTACGTTTTAATATTATGAATAATTCATGCAGTCCGTATATCTTAACACTGGAATGGTTAGAGGAAAGTATCAAATTAAAGCGACCTGCACCAGAAGAAAATTTCTTATGTGAACAAAAAAGTGGTGTAGTACAAAAGGTTACAGAACCTCCTTCTCCATTAAGTAAGAAAGTAGGTATAACAGAAATACAATATGTAATATTGTATTGTATGCTATTTGATGGTCGTATATATTTTTCTAGAACTTACAAATGTTACAAAAACCACGAAATGTTCGCATACCGTCTTTTGATTTAGATCGAAAACTAGCGTTGTTAGAAAAAGAAAAAGAGAAGGAATCATCTGATCTTCTTCAACAGTATCTTCAAGATACGATTGGTAATGTCTTTAAATGATTTTTTGTATTTTTCTATGAAGAAAACTTAAGTGCAAAAGGTATCTATTGTTTGCCGATTTAGCTACTACAAATGATAAAACAGTAGAAGAATTTTTGAAGCCGCGTACACCTGTTTCGGAAAAAAGTAATGATAAAGCTTTAGTTGATGATCGTAAAAGTCAAGAAAAATGCTTAAAAGATTCCATAACACCTACAAGAGCGCAAAGTAAATACCGAGCAGATGATAGTTCAGTACCACTTAGTCAAACTTCTACTCTAAATACTAGACTATTCGAAGGTAACGCAGCATATCTGTAATCAATTTATAATAGCAAAGTATCAACAATAGAAAGAGTAAAATAATGTAAAAAAATATACAGGGCTGACGTTTGTTGTAACTGGCTTTAGCGATGAAGAAAATTACGTAGCCGAAACTATAACGGCAATGGGTGGAAAAGTAGTTCCAGGTACATTTGCTGGTGTACCAGACTATGGTGTTGTACCAAAATGCGGTGCACCTTTAAAACATACTGTCAATGAAATTGTTACAGACTTGTTTATTGTAGGTATCGGTGTTTTGTTTCCATTTTAATATTTTCATGTTATTTTTAATATTAGTATCTTTTATAGGAAGATTGTGTGAATCAGGAGCAAATTCTTGAAGTTACATACTATCACAGACCTCTATCTATAAAGAAACACTCGAATCCTTTATCAGGCTGTGTTATTACAATGAGCATGTATACTGGTGTTGAACGTATATACCTCGCGACATTAGCTACGGAATTGGGTGCAATGTGCCAGGATATTTTTGTGCGTAAAACTAATCTTGAAAAAAATACATATGGAAGTACACATTTAGTTTGTCCAACACCCGAAGGAAACAAGTATAATGCAGCAGTGAAGTGGAAATTACCAGCTATTACAGCAGAGTGGTTAAAATCCTGTGCAACTCAGTCGAAACGGGTACATGAAACACCGTTTCTCGTAGGAGAAACTATAGGTATATGAATATTTAATAAATTAATAGTACATATCTGAAAACTCAAAAGAATATTTTTATATCATTTAAGCTCCCGAAAAACCGAGCCAAACTTACAATGAGGATACAAATTTCCCTATGAGTAATTCAAGTCAAATGGCTCCACCAACTGAACCACCAGTTAAGAATATTATTACTCCACACCGTCATTTACCTAATTTACAAGTATGTATCTTTTTCATTGTATCAATATATGATCTGCAGCATTGTACAGATGAATCATTACTAAAACAAATATTATAGGGCCTAGAAGGTAGTTCTAGCGATACACCGATTATAAATAAGAGGCTTAGTATGCTCATGAACAAAACTCCTCAATCACCGTTTCATGTGTCTACACCAGAAACACCATATGGTCAAGTATTTAAACCCGACCCTTCACCAGACACGAGAAAAGGTTGGGTGAAATGGGTTGACAACTTTCCGGATTTACGAGTCGAAGAGCCTCCTTTGAAGAAAAGAGCACTTAGCACTGTCGGTACTTTTTATGAGTTCACATTCACATGTAAATGTGTAACAGATACTAATGCACTTGAATTTATAGCCTCTTTCAGAACTTAAAAAACAATTATGGCAGAAACTAAAAAATCAAGGTCATGACGCAGAGGTAATATATGTTTAGTATTTTTTATATATATTAGTAAACATTTCAGAGTGTTTTTATAACATTTCATTGTGACAGAACAATGCAGATGAGACATTACCTACTACTGATAATCAGTCACCTGCAGAAACACCGGAAGCAACGAAAAATAATAGTAACTTATCTATTACTACGCCCATTAATAGAAAATTAGAATTCACCGATGAAAGTACTCCGCTACAAAATAATGAAATTAATATGTATGTTATTATATATAAATGATTGCAATATCATAAATAAAATGACTACCATTTTTTATAGTTTCTTATACTTTGCAGGCAAATTGCACAATTGGATCAAGTACTTCAGAGAACATCAAGTACACCTGAAAATAGGTACTCTCTTTCAGGAGAAAATGTAAACACATACAATACAGAACATTCCGATCCTATACAAAAATGTAAGTATATTTTTATCTAGGTATTATTATTTATTTGTCTAATGTATATTTTTCATTATAGTTATTGCAAAGGATTCTCAACCTGTTGATGCTATTGTATGGGAAGATCCGAGTCACCCGAAACGAGTGAGTTGTTTTTATAAATCAATTTTACTTTACTCAGTGTAAAAGAATACTCATGTAATATCAATTAACAAGAGTTTTAATACTTTTTTTTATATATATAGTTGACAATGCACGAAGAGCAAAATGAGAGTAATGCACGTGATGAACATACTATAAATAGTGTTGAAGAAGAAGAGCTTGAACCTCCCAAAAGATTTATGCTTTCAGGCATAAAGGTATATAAATTGTAACCTTTATATACTTCATATTACTATCCTTTTATTAACAAATTTTCCTTAACAGGACAGAACAGCGTACGAACAAGTAATAAAGGACCTCGGTGGTGAAGTAGCTATGGATACTTGTTTTGATATAAGTGCGACGCATTTACTTTGCATTAGACCATCGAGAAATGAAAAAATGCTTGGCAGCATAGCATCGGGAAAGTGGATTTTACATTGTATGTACTTACGCGATTCTGAAGAAGAAGGGAAATTCCTTGATGTTAGTATTAATTGTTGTTATGTATTACCTGTTCTTCTACGTGTAATTATCATTTCGCTATTTTATTTTAATTGTATATCGGCAGGAAGAAAAGTATGAGTGGGGAAATCCAAAAAGTAAAGGCATTATACCTGATCCTAATGGAGAAATTGAAGAGACAATCGCAGCAGCTGCATATAAATGGAGGCTTCAATTATTAAAAGAACCAAACGGACCGTTTCATAAGATGGTTGCTCTATTATTAGCTTCTGGAGATAAATACGATCAATTTAAAAGATTAATTGAAGCTGGAAGTGGTACAGTTGTTCAGGCAAGGTAAAGTATCTTTGTTTTTCATTAGATGCGTAATATTTGGAAACTCTGATATATTGTTCGTTTCAGACCACCATATGATACAAGTCCGACAGGAAAAAAGATCACTCATTGTTTTGTGAATATTAGACAAGTTAGTCAACCGATTGATTGGGCAATGTTGGCTAGTAAAGGTATTCTCTGTTTTATGCCACAATATTTGAGTGATTATCTTACTGCACAAACGCCATTAAATCCACGAGAATGTGTAATTCCAGAATTTAAAAAGTATTTAACATTACTGCCGAAATAAAAATAAGATACTGCATATTTTATTAAATTTCATCTTTATTAATTGATAGTACATATATTGTATTTAAAAAATAAAAGGTTATAATTATAATGATCACTTTACAATTTGGTAAAATTCAATCTGAATCCATCTGCTGGTGATAAGAAAATGTTGCGAACGTCAAGGTCTCCTTTAAATGTAGGATCCAGCGAAACTTCGTAACCTTTAAGTATCGTAATCAAGGCCATATTTGATTGTAATAGACCCAATCGAGTTGCTATAATGAATGTCATTTAATAGCAAAAATTAACAATATTATGCCAATGATACAAGAATATTTTATAGTAAATAACTGTTTTACCAATGCAAGCTCTTGGACCTTCACCGAAAGGCATGTATGAGAATGGCACAATCTTATCTTTATTTTCGTCGCTGAATCGATCAGGGTTAAAACTGTGGGGGTCAGGATGATACTTAGCATCATAGTGAAGACCACCCAAAGCCACATAAACGGGTGTTCCTTTTTCTACAACTACCTTGGTTCCTGGTATCTATGATACGTAAAATAATTGTCATTGTCATTCTTAGAACACACGTGAAACATAATGCTACGAGGGAACACCATTTGAGCATATTAAGCATGCTACCATTGTATAACTAAGTAAATGATGCATAGATTTAAGAGTCACAAACATGTTATGCAATACTAAAATACTCGAAGCAGAATTTAATAGAACGTCATAGTGAGCGGAATACTAATGCATCATTAAAGATATTGTCCATTATAGAAGAACGTTGTTCTTGACATTGCAAGCGTAAAATATTCATCTCATTATAAAACGCACAGACGTTTTATTTTCTCAGTTTACCTTGTAATCGAACTTTGCAACTCGATCGATAAGCGGGGCTGGTGGATACATTCGGAGAATTTCCGATATAATTTGATTAAGATATTTCATTTTTTGATAACTCTCATAAGTCATTCCATGTTCTTTCAATACTTCCTGAATTTCTTCTCGTGCTCGCTTTTGATACTCTGGATGTTTAGCGAGTTGGTAAAGTGTCATAGTTATGGTTGTTACACTTGATTCACGTCCAGCAACGAAGAAAATTGCCGATTGACCCACTAACGCATCACCCTCAAACTCTGTACATGAATTACTTTTTTTTCTTTTTCGGACAAAGGATATACTATATTCAACTGATGTAGCCCAAGTAATACTTAGAACTTACTGAATCCATTTCCTTGTTCTTCGTTTTTCAACTCTAGTAAAGAGTCGATTAAGTCTCCTCGTTTAGTTTTATTCGCCTCTCTACTATCCATAGAATCCCAGAATACTTTGCGGAAATAATTGGTAGACTCTCCTAACATTTGGCCTACAAACCATGAAGCATTTGGGAAGAAAAACGCTAAAAAAAACTGCATAGCCCGACGGAATGTCAGGGTCAGTCCCTTTTGAGCTTTTAAATAAAAAACGAAACAATTACAACACAGTTGCGTAAAATAATCTTACACCCGATTATAAGAGTAGCCGAATATTTTTCGATAAACACCTTGATTAAAGAACTGTACTTTCTCAGGATCGAACGAATTCACTTGTATTCCAAAAGCAACAGAAGATATAATATCAGTCGTATACCTCAAAGCTACGTCTTTCATTCCTATGGTTTTCGTCTTTTTACCGTCCGAAAATTGTTGTTCTAAATATTTGTTCATCGATTCAGCTGTCTTCGCGATCAAATAGAAGGCTTTCTTTAGTTTTCCACTTGTGAACACCGGTGTTATTTTCGTCCTAACAGACACAATCTTTCGCTGATATACTTTTTCAATATCCCTCGAAAAGTTTCTTTGAATAATTTTTTTTCAAACATACCTCAGTTGCCTCCATTCTGGATTTTTAATATTGAAAAGACCCGAGCTACCAATTTTATCGTGAGGCGATCGCGCCGAGAAATATCGATCTTGGAAATAATTAAAATCCTTGACTAAAATATGTTTTATCAATTCTGGATTTCTCACAAGCAAGAACGGTTTGGAGAGGATGTAAATTCCCAAAATATCGTCGCTCTCCGAAGCTTGTTTATGTAAATCACCGATCACAAACGCGGGCGGTTGTGTCCCATTAATTATACTTTTTACATTACCAAACAACCAGTGACTATTCGGTAGAGTAGGAACACCTCGTTTCTGCCAGTATGTCTGCTTGTATCTTATGTAAAGAACCAAGAAGGTCACCAAAGCAATAATCACATACAGGAGTTTCACAAAAAACGAAAAATTTAGCTCCATCGTGTCGTTACGAATAACTTAATGTTACCAGCTTCATTAAGACACTGAGAAAAACTACTCATGTTTGATCATATAAGTACTTCTATCACGCGGGATTATCTACACTTACTACGTACAATAATAGGATAGTGTTTATAACGTAATAAGTACATGATTTTGTAAAAGCATATGATAAAAGACAGTCTCTTTTATATTAAGTAATCAATTTATTAATTTTGTTATCAGACGTTTATCAATCATAGTGACTCGGCATAAATAAATCCCCGAATAAAGGTACACGATTTCTTCATATATTATATTTAATCTACTTAAAAATGACAATGCATAAAAACAGCAGCTTAATGCTGCTACTCGTTGAAACGATTAGAAGTTATCTTGAATTTCGTTTCGTAATGTTTATCATAAAAAATGAACGAAATTTCTTCAACATGACTATTATAAATATTGGAAGTCATATGCTGTATAACACAAAAAAAAAAACAACATAGAATTACTTACGAGATTTTTATTTTAGTGACTATGATACACGAATTATACATATTTATATATATATATATTATTAATACAATCTTACACAATTCGATAAAGATCCTAGTATAAACATCGCATCATCGAACGAAATTTTTTAAATCCTACAGATAACTATAGATACATATACAGTCGTAGCGTCGCAGTTATTTTTTTTTTTTATCCATTCACGTGTATCAACAAGTTAAGCGTATTTCTCGAGGCTAAATTGTTTGTTATTAGTTTTTAGAAATTCAAGAAAAATACATCTTAATATGCAAAGATACCACCCGTGAAATACTCGTTTCTCGTTGAAATAAGACATTAACACAATATAAATGACATAAATCATCTTAAACCGCATCGCTTAGTCATAAGAAATCCATTTCGTCAAAACCTTCGATTAAGGTACTAGAGGACGCGAAGCATTCATCCAAAGTGGGCTCTAATTTCGATTAAATCAGAACATTTTACAAGCTGTGCATTATTTTGTCGTATCGCCCTACCACTTGTGTTGTTACTGTTTACAATCTCACGATCGTCATCAAATTGTTATGAACATTAAAAAAACGAACAATGCCATAATACTATATCGCAATTCTTCAAAATCAATGGCGCACAAACAGAATTCATGTCTTAATATTTATATACAAATTCGGCCAGCAAATTTTGAAAGACGATATTATACTACAATAAAACCGGAGTATCTCAATACTGATCAAACTATGAAATGTCATCATTCTTCGTAGACAAAATTGAAATACAAAAGAAAACACCTTTTACCACGTGAACATCAAAGGTATGTTCCTCACGCGGTATATATTGCAGTTATTGTATTGTCTAAACCGAAATCACGGTTACAACATCGAATCGAATCCGGTTAAATTACATGCAATATCTTTTTTGGAATGTTGTCATTGTTTTAAGAGCCCTCAAAAATGAAATTTCTACTTCGACTTCGTTTTTCTTTTTTTCATTCGGTCAACCTAATTTCAATGTAAAAAAGTCTGTGTAATACTTAACGGATTCGAACATTCTGTATAACGAAACACATTCACTTCGGTTGAGCATCTGGTTGAGTCTGTGATTGCTGTTGTTGCTGTTGCTGTACTTGTTGAGGGTGAACAGGATGGGCAATGGTTTGCAATCTAACTTGACTAGGTCCGGGACTACCTCTTGCGGTCGTAACAATGGGTTTCCCTTGAGCAGGTGCAGCTTGGCGCAATTGAGCACTACTGGCGGTCACAACTTGGATCGTTTGCTTCAAAGCAGCAGTCGGAACCGGAATCACTCGTGTCTGTAACGGAGACTTGGCTAACACTACTTGACCAGGTTGGGAGACCGTTTGTCCCGTGGAGACCTGTAATATCATTTTGTAAAGAACAAAGGATTAATTTAATAGAATCAAACTATTAATAGCTACGAGCATGATATTATATAATACATACATGTGTAAATTGTTGCATCGTAGACGGTTGAACATGTTTCATAACTTGCTGAATCTGCTGTACAGTCATCGTCGCGGGTAATGATTTCTGTTGCACAATCAATTGCGTTTGGACACCAGTTTTTCCAACTTGGGCTAGTTGCGCAACTTTTTGCGCTGGTAATTTTCTCTGAGTGATGATCTGAGGATGAAGGGCGAGCTGACGAATTTGTTGAGGTGTTGCCGTACGGACACTAGCAACGTTTGCAGCTTTCACTAAAGTAGCAACTGGCGTGCCACCGGTAGACGTTCCAGCCTGTTGCACTTGCAAACCTGCCTGTGCGAATATTTGAGCTGGAGTAAGACCTGCCTGTGCAGGTACTTGTACCTGAGCTACCGCTTTGGCTTGCTGCTGCATAGCTTGCCGCTTTAACAAAGCTGCCATTTCCGTCTCTGAAACTGTACGCGCTATAGTCTGTTTTCCAACAGTCGTTTGTGCAACAGTACCAGTTATACTCTGCTTCATCAACGTAGCCCTTTGCTGTGCAGCAGTAGCTGAAACTGCTACCGATACCTTTTGACCACTTGCAGCCTGCGCTTGCAATACTTTCAATTGCTGCTGTCGTAATAGGACTTGTTGCTGGCGGTAATATTGCAGCTGAGCAGCAGTTAAAGTTTTACTACCGGAAGCCGTAGCCACGGTAACTCCAACGATACTCTTCTGCGTACCAGCAGGAGAACTCTGCGCAGCAGATACTAGACTCGCTGTCGCGATTCTTTGAGCTGCTTGAAGATTGCTAACGCTGACAACGGTCGGTGTTGTTCGTGCATCTTGCATAGTTAACGTTCCTCCTGATCGGGCTTTAACAGTAGACGTAGCAACTGTTGTACCACATGTAGTAACGTTAGTCATTGTCGTAACAGTCTTCATTGTTGTTAATCCGGTTGTAACGGTGGTTACAACTTGCGTGAGTTGATGCACTTGTGGACTTGTGGTGCTGGAGATATTTTGTTGAGCCTGCTGTTGTAGTTTGATTTGCTGCTGCTGCTGAGCTTGTTGTTGTTGCTGCTGCTGCTGCTGCTGCTGCTGCTGCTGCTGTAAAAGACGAGCGGCCACTTGTTGCTGTTGCTCTGCTGTTAAAACCTAAATACGAAATATTGCATAAAATATTTAATCATGCAAAAACTTCGGTAATTTTTTGCGTAAAAACATTGCGTATGTTATTATACTAACTGCGTGTTTGAGCTTCTCCTTCGCGATCCTGTCGGCACGTCGCGTTGCAACTTCTATAGGAGCCAGCGGGCTATCATATTGGATACCACACTCAGCTAGAACTGCGGCATTGGTAGGATTCTTCATTAAAGGATTAACAAGTAACGGTTTACCGGTAGGCGTTTTCTTATTCGAAACAGATTTAATGGTATCGAATCTCTGACAGCACATTAACGTAAAAGAATGATTCTTATCCTGATTATATAACTGAGACGTTTTCATTGGCCTGTTTGTTTTACTTTGTTGCTAAAAGAAGACGATTAAAAGAATGATAATTTTTTCCCAACACACATCTCCCTTGAAATGTACAATAAAAATATCGTGATATACCTCGGAAACCTGAGGCATCTTGTATACGCCTTTTTGTTTCTTTTGTTTTTTCGGGGTGGTATCGTAAAGCAATTTGCCTTCTTCTCTCGGTACTATTACCGATTCGTATCTACTTCTGCATTGCTTAGGAGATCTGTATATTCGAGAAGTATTGTTCACTATGTCCGCAACTAAATCCCAGTTAGGAGTGTGACCAGGAGATAAAATCATTAAATTCAATGGCAGTCCTTGGTAAATCTGAATTGCTTGGAGAAGAGCCCAGTCTTCGTGTATCATCCAATCTAAAACATGTTCTTGGTCCGCGGAAGACTTCGACATGTGCGAAGGCTTTATACCAGGCAGTGGAATCGGTGGTCGTACTATACGATATTTATGTAATTTCATATCGCGACGCATTTTCATAAGCGCCGGCGAAGGCCGATCGAACAGAGATCTCGGTGCGTAAACTGATTCCTCCTTGTGTCGCATTTTAACCGCCCGGCGTCCTGTGCAAGGAATGATTAATTTAATGTGATTAAATTACTAGAAACATATAAAAAAACGATTCAATGTGTCACGTTCGCTTACCATCGCGATCATTAAGACCAACATCGATCCTACTTCTCTTTTGTTCCTTCTTAATGTATATCGGAGGCAATTGTGCCTCTGACATAGGAGTATTTTCATAAAGGAATCCCAAAGAATAGTCGATATAAACATCATTATCCGTCGTTGGAGGCGTTGGAGGACACCACATCTGATGATTTAAATGAATTTTATACGGACATTCTCTTCACGAATGAAGACATAAGTAGAATTTATGTACTAACCGGCATTTGCTCCATATTGTCGTCCGACAACCATATCTGTAAGATATTAAAGTACGACTATGAGATCTATTCAAAAAAAATTGCAAATAAATCTGCTTTCAATTTTCAGGTGTGACGAAGAACTTGAAAAGAAAATGGTCTTCCTCTTCACTCTATTGTATACATCTTCATACACTTTTTTCTGTTAAACGTAAATGAATGCCGTAAAATGCTACTATCACGTTACTCGACTGAACAAATATGATCACGGAGATATGACAAGGAAAATGAATAGGAAGTGTATGTACACTTTGCTCGTTCAAAGGCTCATTTTTCTTATTCAAGAATTTCGTTACTTTGATCTCGCGTAGACATCAAATATTGTGCAAGACGCTCATTAATGTGCCTGCTTATACCTTGGCTGACTCCAAGTTTGGAATGGCAAAGGCAGTGTTTTGGTGCCATTTTTCAAATAATTATTGGAGCTTTCTCTACTACTGCATGCTATTTTAATCTAGTATGTTTTATAAAAAAAAAATCTCTTTCTCTTTCTCTTTTAATGTGCGGTCATGATAGCCTTGCCACACCAAAACATCGCGAGAATATGCAAGATCATTATGTTTCAATGATCTCGGTATATATAACCAAGCACACTGAGCAAAATTTGACACCAAAACGGAACTGAACCTTTGATCGAACAGACTTGGAAACGCACCAAGAAATAAGAAAACACATCTTCGTAGCAAGGAATATTTTGTTTATTTCCTTCCTCGGACTCACTCGATCATACAAAATACAGGCACGCAACTTAAATATTACATTGGGGCATACCATTAAACGAATAACTTCTTAAGTCTAGCATGTAATCAGGTCGTTACCTTGCAGGTTATGTAATACAAGGCGTTACACGAGAGCAAAGTACGGCGCGTTCACAATATTACTTTTGTGTTCGTTTTTATTTTTGTTTACCTCTGCATCGACTGCCTATTTCTTCATTTTTTTTTTTATCCATTTTATACGATCAATCGCCGCAAAATCGTCGCAAAAATGAGACAAACTTTTGCGGCTACTGGTACTAATGAACTAAGCTATAGTGAAATTTTTTGTTTATCATCTCTATTAATCCTATTATGATACAGTCGGATGTCTTATACTTCTTTCATCATTTTTCATTACATTTTTTTATCACCAAGTATAAATTACAATGTCACTTAAAGACATTCGAAACCTTTACAGAAGAGCACAATTTACAATGCTAAAAATATTACACATGTGTACTCAGTACAACTAAAGAAACATTTCACTTAACTTTACGTTTTTTTTTCTGTGATTATATACAAGAATCGTGTGTCTGTGTTTGTGTTTGCGTATGTATGCGCGCACGCATATGTGTGATGTGTACATGTGTCCGTGTGTTTGTCTATATGTCGGTGAAAGTTAAGAAAGAACTTAGAACTTGGAGAGGTTTTTTATACGCACGCCATTCCAAGTTGTAGTACTCCATGTAGACAAGTGTTTTTATGCGTGTCTGAATTATGAGAAATATTTATACAAACACGCTGCTAAATGTTACAGCGATAAAGTTTTAGCGAGACTCAAGATATAGTGCCGCTACTGATCTTCTCCAGTTGAGTGGTTTGCGAAGGAGGAGGAGGAGCAGGAGGAAGCTGAGAACGAACTGACTTTTTTAACGGCGGTATTTGCTCCTCGTCGTCTAAACCATCGTTAATTTGCGACTCGTTCGCCTTGCCGCCTATTAACGGCTTAGCGAACGACGACAATCTCGTTCGTTTAATTTTTCGCCGTAACCTCTTCGACCCATCGGACGAGTCGTAATTAGGATCGTTGTCCAGATCGACTAATGCTATCACCGTCGATTGTACCGGCAACGGAACCTTATCCGTTTTCAACTTCGAACTCAACGGCGACGTATTTTTATTCATAGTCGACGCTTTCCCCGTCTTACTGGAATTCGTATAAGTACTCGCCACGTTGGAAAGCACGTTAGAGGAGACGCGATCCCGTGAACCAGTATTATCCAGTCCAGAAGCACACCATCCATCTAATCTACAATTAACATTGTCCGATGTCCTATTGACGCAATTTTTTCCCGGCGAATCAGACGTAGAGTTGTTAGCGTTCGAATCGGCGTTTTTTTTAATACTTTTCGTATCACTAGAATTGCAATTAGACGTCTTTATGTGAACGGAACTGGACGCTTTACTGGTGTGGTTGCTCCTTGTGTCTAGAGTGAGAATCGCAACGACTTTAGCCGTTCGTTGCGGTTTCTCATTGATTTCGTTAAAAGCTGGCAACGCTGTATCGTCCTGTTTCGCGAAGGCTTCTGGGACAACTGCGTTTCCATTCGAGTCTGTGTTCAATGTTTCCGTCTTAGCAGACGCTGGTGAAACCACACAAGATTCTTCTTCTTGTGTCTTCGAATCGGAAGACGAATCTGTTTTCCGAAAATGCTTCCCTCTGCCTGACATATGATTAGAGCTAGATTTTCCTGAATTCAACATGAAATTCAACCCAGATCGAGTGACTCTCGACACTTGTTCGAAAGTAGGAACTGGTGTATCCGGTCGCCGTCTCGTTGTGCTCGTATTTACACTGGCAGATTCACTGTTTCTCTTGGACCTAGTCGAAATAGGACTAGTGCAATCTTTTGTTTCAGAAGTTGGTTTCATCGGTGGTATCGAACTGCTTCGTCGAAACGGTGTTGGGTTTAAGAAACCATTGTCCAAAGACTTCGAACTACGCGTTGTAGGTTTTTCGTACGTATTCTGTTCTTCGTTTCTTACTGGTGAATTTAAACTGGACATTGACCTCGTAGCTGGTCGCGGACTAGACTTCAAACATTCGGGGAAAGGAGTATCTGGTCGTCTTTTGTGAACTGACTTCGGGGTACTTTGACTGTTACTCGGTGGAGGTGTCAAAGAACGAATTGCACTTGATCTTGTAATTCTACCATGCTCCACTGTAGGCCTAGGTGTGTCTGGTCTCCGAATATGAACTACTTTATTGACTTCTTTACGATGAGTATTTGAAGGTGAATTTGGAATTTCGGTACTTTGATTCTCCTTCGATTCACTTGATTCGCTCGTTGTCACGGAAGGGGATTGCTGCTGCTGCGTATCTGAATTTTTATTCTCGGAATTTTCTGTGCAACAATTCTGTTTCGCGCTTCTTGTAGTCACCCCGTAACTTACTGCGTCTGGTTTACGAAATTTAATTTTGTTATCAGTCATTGATTCTGATCCACTTGATCCGTTTGAATCTAAAGTATCCGAAGGAGAATTAATATCACTGCTACCTTGCGTCGATGGGGTAAACTGATCTCTTTCTTCATCTTCGTCGCACGTGCACTCGTCTAATTTAGTAGGTTTTTCCTCTTTGCTGCTACTGGACTCCTGACTAGAGCTTGATTCTATCACAGAATTAGATATATTATCATTGGCAGACTCATTTTTTACATCTGAATTTAAAGCATTTTCATCGCATTGCTCCTCATTTACCGAAGTCGTCTCTACGTCCATTTCTTCTTCTACCTCGACCTGGTCTACCTCCATCTTTTCTACTTCCATTTTATCTATGTCCACCTTTTCTATGTCCGCTTCTTCTATGTCAGCATCTTCTATGCCAGCATCTTCTACGTTTGTTTTAATAGGATTCTGCGCTCTAGCGTCGTTCTTTCCATCATATTCTTCGTCAGAAATGCTTGTAGTTTGAGGTTCATCTGCAGCTTTCTCTTCTAATGGCTTTAATTCTACGGTGGGGGTAGATGATTCTTTTTCCATATCTGTTTCTTCCATACTTTCTTCTTCAATACGCGAAATTACCTCCTCATTCTTGAGAACGGAATCATTTGAATTTTCTGCGACAGATTCGTTTACAGTTCCTTCTGTATCTTGAGAAATTTTATTTTTTAAGGGAGCGACCAATGAATTTTCCGATACGTTGATCTCTTCATCTATCTCTAAAGTCATCGAATCTTTTAAACACGTTGACGATTCAGAAATTCTTTTTATATTACTTGGTTCTGTTACAGAAGAAAAACTGCTGCTCTGTGAAATCGAATCAACGTTAGAATTTTCAGAATCTTCGTTATAACTTGTATCGTCGTCGGAATTATTAGCTTCTGTTGTTGATTTGTGCGTAGATCGTAGAACAGATACAGTAGACAAGGTGTTTTCTGTTATATCTTGGGTTACTTCATCACAGGCATTATCATCAGTTTCTTCAAACTCCAAATTTTTACATTGTTCCGACGAGCCAACCGAATTATCCGATTGGGAACACGTCTCCGATTGCAAAGAATCTAATGACATGGCGGAATTAGACTCTTCCGTAGTAACTGTCTTGTTCGGTTTCGGTTTTGGCGAAGACGTTGTAATACTGCAATGATTTGCAATGGTTTTACAATTTTCGACACTTACAGACAACTCTTTCCTCGAAAAAACTGTGGTATGTTCAGTATCAATGCGTTTTAAATTAGGTGTTACCACCTCCTTCTGATTCTGATGTTCTACATCAGTTTTATTCGAATTATTTGCATTATTCAACATCTTGGGACTTGTAACGGGTGGTAAAGGTAAAACGAAACTTTCCTCTTGTTTCATTCTCATTTCAAGCTCACGCTGTTTCCGCAAATTACTGGCCCTACCACGGCATTTCGGTTTTATACCAGGCAAAATGGGACTTACATCTAATGTCCACAGATTAATTTTAACATTCCCCCTAGACCTCGTTCGCGGACTATTCAGATCGAAATGGTTTTGACTGAATGATTTATTAGAACGGTTCTTACGCTTGGGATACCCGCCCTTCTCAGAATCATTCTGATCGTTTGCCTCCTCCTCCTCATCCTCATCGCCTTGACTTTGGCTTTCCGTGTGACTCGACTCTTCGTCAAGACTATCTTCTACCACGTCTTCTTGCGACTCAGATTCTGACTCTGTAGTAGTCTCAGTTTCACTTTCCGATTCTTGAGCACTTTTACTAATATTCTTACGCGAATTCCTCCTCCTATTCGGTGGGAGTTTCTTATTGACTAATTTCTTAGAATTACTAGCACTATTAACCTGATTTTGCGCATCCTCACGTCCAAACGTCAGGGGCTTCTCGTCATCGTCAACCAATCGCAATCGCCTTTCCTCTTCTTCGCGCAATGCTCGTAGCCGATCTAACTCCCACTCTTTCTTCTGCTCTTCGAGTTCACGTTCTGCAGCTGCTAGTTGGGCCGCAGAGAATGCACCCTCCGATTCCTCGACAAACTTCATCGCGTAACGTTCTATAGGTGTCAACTATGTACAGAAAGAAGTTATTTTTAACGAATATCTCTCATTGCGATACGCATTATGCTTGGATAAAATATTGTAAAAAGACAAATAAACATTGTCCTACCTGAGATACTAAATTTTGTACTTCAAGCTCAGCTTTGCTAACTTGCATATCGTCCCTTTCCGCGTCATCTAAAGGTATATTTTCATCGAATTCTGCTAGATCAGCAACAGCCTCTGCTTTAGCAGTCTTTGCAGCCTGAACATCGAGATCCTCTTCAGCAGCAGCAAGAGCACTTTCCAATGCACCCATTGCCACTTTATCCTCCGCAGTCTGAGCTTGAACATCCCTTTGCAAGTATTTTTCTCGATCTCTATTTTGTTCCAGCACTTCCGCCATTCGAGTTGACGCATCACTCTCCGATTGGTCGATATTAAAGAGATCTTGAATCGTAGACTATAAAAAAAATAATTGCAATCGTACAATATTTGATTTCAAAGCATACTCATTTTACGCTTTTAAATTACTTACACTTTTGAAGTAGGCGGTTGTGAAATTACCACCTTCGATGGCTAAATCTCCAAGTAGTCTCTTCTGATTGGCCTTTTTCAGAATATTTTCTTCTACAGTCTTTTCACTGACTAACCTATAATATAACGAGAAAAAGATAATGAAATATAATTCGTAAATATAATTGTATTTTTTTACATATTTATATGTATTTTTATACCTGTAGATATGTACATCCCTCGTTTGTCCTATTCTATGACACCTATCTTGTGCTTGGGCATCCATCGTAGGATTCCAATCACTATCATAAAATATAACAGTATCTGCTCCTGTAAGATTCACACCTACACCACCCGATCTCGTCGATAAAATGAAACAAAATATTCGTTTGTCTCCGTTAAATCTTTCCATCAAAACCTGTATTTATTTGGACAAATTAAATACATTAGATGATAATAATAATAATAATAAGAAAATTTATAGTAATTATTACCTGTCGTTGATCTACTCTAGTAGTACCATCCAAACGTAAATATATGTGACCATGGAAGTTAAGAAAAGCTTCTAATACATCCAACATCCTTGTCATTTGTGTAAAAATTAAAACTCTATGGTTCCCAGATTTAAGTTTCCTAAGAAGTTGATCTAAAGATTGCAACTTCCCGCAGTCATACTGTATCAATCTGGGGTCAGGGAATTGCGTACTCATTGCACTAGCTACTGGATGGAACAACGCCAATTTTGGCGATAGTTGACGTTGCAATTCCATTTGTATACGCCGTTGACCAAACAACTTATGTGGTGGAGGATGAGAAACATGAAAACGTGGCGTAGGTGCGCACACAGCAGGAACATGAACAACAAATCTAAAATGAATCAGTTATGTTATATGCAAGAAAAAATTATTAAACAATTCATCTGAAATGATTGAACATTAAATCTTTCTTTCTTTCGTTATGCATGTACTCGATATACATACCTTTCAAAAACTTCTTTAAGCTCTTCAACAATTTGTTCAGTACTTTTAATCGCCTCTGCAAGTGCTTCTGTACGAGAAAAAAATTGTCTTCGAGTACGTGCATTGTCTTTTGCATTTGCACAGTGAACCCAACCATTATGCCACCTACATGCTGTAGACGGCTTTCCAATTCGTAATGCCATGAACAAATCTTCTCCGTACAGAGGACACGCAGCACATCGTCTTTCATTAATGTTTGCAAGAAGACGAAGTTTAGCTTGCCTTCTTTGTTTCCGTTCATCTTCTAATTGTGGCTACAGTAAAAAATGATATTTAAATTGATGTTAAATATAATTTGAAAGTTTATTCAAGTGAGATATTTACCAAATAAAATTCGGATTTTGGACGTTCTTTTATTTGTGCCTTTTCGGATTCCTTTTGTGCGTGTCTGGTAACAATACCACAACGAATCGATTGTTGTTGCGGTTGTCCATTGCCAGCAGGAGACTGTGTCTGGGAAGCAGTAACATTAAGTGGCGGCACCCTCATTACAGGTCTTCCAGTAGTTCCACTACTAGTTGTTACTACTCCCCCTATAACTTTGTTTACTGTAGTTGCCGAGGTAGATAGGCCCATTAAAGATTTAGATAAAACTGTCAAACGTTGTCCACTCATTACTGGAAATGAAACTGTAAGTATAAAAGAATATTAGTCACCTATGATCAAGCTCGGGTAAAATCTAGAAAATTTTTCAGACCAATTTAATTCATAAATTACATAGTAACACAAAATAAAAAAATTTGTTCACAAACATAAGGAAATATTAATAGTCATGCATTTTGTATTATTTTTGAACATTCATTGAAATGCACACAATTGGTATGAAGAAGGATGTAAATGGTTCATATTGCTTTAACATGAATCGTAAATGAAATCAGTGGGATATGAGCACTCATGGGACAAACCTGTGTTAGTGTTTTGCTGATTTGAAGTCAGAATGATATGTCTACCGGTAGATGTTTGAACCACCTGTGCAAAACTAGGCACTGCTATTCTTTGGACGGAATCACCTTGTTTAACTGTGACTGTCTGCGTTGTTAGTCGTTGCAGTCCATCTCTAATATTTGCATTCCCTACTGTAATCCTCTGTGCATTCGTTGCTGCTGTAGTTGATGTCACTGTTGTACTTTGTGGGTTATGTGCTAGTGTTCCAACGGGAATTGCTATTTTCGAAGCAAACACAACAAATGTTTTACACAAACTGTGATACACATGTTAGATTATAATTAAATGTAAGTTCTGTTAATGTGCTCTCGTATCTAGAATGCTTATAATATGGGAAAACTATAAACAAGCTGGCGCGAGACCATTTCCTTTAGCACCATTGCAAGAATGATTACACAGCGACAATGTTTGAGTGCAACCACTGATCGATGATGCATAGGGTCCCAAATTTTAGATGAAAATATACGTATACACATTAAGAACATATAAGGGGAAAATCCTTACCTTTCACACTACCTTGATGTTGAACTAACTGTACGGAATATCCTTGAAACTGTTGACCACTTGCTACTTTTAACGTAACACCTGTGAATTTGTAAAACCAGCGAAAATTAATTGCAAAAATCGAAAAAATATTAGATAGAACATTAAACGTCTAAATTTTTCCTTACCTTGCCCTGGAGTGCTTTGATTGTTTGCGGTTTTTATTAAAGGAGATGTTCCAACTCTTGGAGTAGGCAATATTCCAGCTAAATTCTTTAATTTCGATTGAGTCTGTTGAGGAGCGGTTGATGGTTTAACTTGATTAGATAATCTAACGTTGATTTTAATTTTTCCAGATGGACATCTCGGAGGTGGATCTGGTTGAGTGTCTATTTCTTCTATAAGCTTTCGTGGCGTTTGCAATCGTCTGACTCTGTGTGCCACAAAAGCAGTAAGAGTCAGCTCCAAATCATATAATAAAAGATTAATACTAGATAAATCGATATGCTGTAAAATAAGACAAACATTAAAGATAATTCGACATTTATAAAAGTGTAACTAAAATTAGAAAAAAAGATAATACTGTTACCTTAAATGGATCGTAATCAAGAGCACTCCATATTAACGAAGCTGTTACATATTCAATAGCTTCCATTTGAAATGGTGATACAGTGGGTCTCACTTCAAATAAATTTGGATGGTTGCATACCTTTCGTAACTGCATTAATACGTTGATGACGCTTAATAAATTACCACTAGCCAGGGTCTCTTTTGTTCTTAAGAAGAACATAAATATATAAGTAATGACATATGATAATTATATTACAATAAAAATATTTAACGTACAGTACTTACTTTGCTCTAGACATAAAATCATCGTACAGATATCGCTGTCGTTTTGACAAACGGCACATAAGAACGTGCTCGTATTTTTTGGGTAATTGTTTTTCTACTTCCGTTTTTAATCTTCGCAATAAAAAAGGTCGCAAAACCTACAAACAAATAATGGCTGTATAAATAAAATGTAGATAAGATACAAAAATCTGTACAAAATATGAAAGTAATATAATAAAAATTATTATAATAAGAAATGTTTCTCCAGACAGGATTCGTATGTCATACAAAATATTTTCTGACACGCGAGTTTTATTAGAGAATTATTTTAATATCTCGCTGTGTATATAAAGCAGATAATTGATACATAACCATTCATCTGGGTTGGTTAGCGAGTCGTTGTAAATATAAAACAATAAATTTAAGAGTGAACTACGTACAGACCTTGTGCAGACGACGAATAATATTTTCATTGTATTCATTGTTTCCTTCGATCATTCCAGTAACAGGATTACTAAACCATTCTTTAAATTCTCTGTGCGATTGAAATACATTTGGCATTAAAAAATGCATCAGTGACCATAATTCCATTAAGTTATTTTGGAGAGGTGTGCCGGTAAGCAATAATCGTCTGTAGTAATAGAAAGTTTTATATGAACCAATATTCATAAAATAAATTATTCATACAAAACATTATGAATATTTACCGCTGTGTTTGGAAATTCAGCAATAATTGCCATCTCTGTGATTTAAAATTTTTAATGTTTTGAGCTTCATCCAATATAAGATATTTCCACTTTTTCCTTCTAAAGCTTTGATGGTCTTGTATAACTAGCTTGTACGAAGTTATACATATGTGAAAAGCATTAGGTTTTGTCCAACCTAAGACATATCAACGAGTATTACAGATACTGTTATTATCACACACTTTCATTAATAGATGATAAAGTATTTACCTGTTCTTTTTTGTTTCCTTTCTTTTTGTGTTCCGTAATAAGTTAAAATTTTAAAACCAGGACACCACTTTTTACATTCCATTTCCCAATTGAGCATCACAGATGTTGGTACTATTACGAGATGAGGACCCCAATTGCCTTTTTCGCATGCCAAATGCGCAAGTAAAGCAATTGTTTGTATAGTTTTACCCAATCCCATTTCATCGGCTAAAATACCATTTAATTTTCTATCGTACATTGTAACAAGCCAATCCAATCCTATATGTTGATATTCTCTGAGATGATGTTTTAGAAGAAATGGAATTTTTGTAACGACCTAAAATAGCAATGTTAGTTTTATTAAAAAATCATGAATAAATTCACTATTAATTTATATAATTTAAGAAATTGTCGTGACTATTCTTTAAAAGTAAATGAATCACAGTTGATTTACTTCTTTAGATCAATGTCACTTATACTGTGCCTTTCGGAAATGCCTTTGTGCAAATTACAGCCACATGGACTTGGATAGAAAGGCTTCCTTAATAATTATAATTTTACTAAAAAAAGAAGAGACCATCATAGCGTACATAAAATCACTTACACTGGTGGTAAGTAAAGTATTTCCTTTAGGTTGTATACTCTCCGCTAATGCCGCTACATTATCCATTTCGTTATGAGCATCCGAATGATCCATTTCTGCAGTCTATAATAAATTAGCAATACAATATTTTTCATATATCCATATTTCTTACATGGTGAACATTTAAAAACGTTACTATACCTTATCATCTGATGATTTTTCCATGGAAACATCTTCTAGCAAAGATTTAAGACCAATATCAGCTTCATTATCACTTTGTGTTTGAGACTCCACTTCCCCAACTTCGTTATCACTTTCGTCACTTTCAGTTTCATTACTAGTAGATTCTTCGTCGTTATCTTGCCCTTCTTCCTTTGTGCTTTCTTTATCCGACTCTAAACAAATAAACATATTTATGTATTACAATAAGTTTTTATTCTTGTTAAGTAGTTGTAAACATTTTAAATTTTCAGACAAATGCCTCGAGTCACATCAAAAATGGAAATTAAGGAATGAGAACCATTCCTTAAACCATCAGGATCGGTAAAATATCATCATCAATGTATAGATATTGTATGACGATAATTAATTTAAATTTTATGTACCTTGAACTGAATCTTGTTCAACATCCATTGGAACATCTGGTATATTACCATATTTGACCATAAGTTCATCAATAGACATTTCATTTTCAGCCTAAAAGAATTAATCTTTTATACAAACAATTCATTAATTTTCTATAACACTTATAAAGTATACGCATACCTTTAGATCGTCCAGTTCTTGTTTATAATCTGCATTTTCTTCAACTTTTTCTTGTTCCATAATAGTTTCCTCTTCATCCGAGGATTCATCCGACGCAGCAACAAAATCTGTATCTCCATCTGTTGTCTTTTCATTCTTCTATTAAAATAATATAAAAATTAGTTATTACATAAAATAATGTAATTAAAATTTATTCGAAAATAATCATACTTCTTCCACGATTTCTTTTGATGTAGGTGACAAACTCTTACTCCTATCTTCTAAGTAATCTGGCGGTAATTCTTTTAAAAGATCTTCCAAGGGTATTTCCGATTCTTTCTTTAACAATTCAACCTCTTCTTTATGGTTTGTCACAGATTTTAGTTCCTCTTCTGCTTTTGCTATAGTTTCTTCGTCGTCGTCAGAACTTTGATTTGGTTGAAAATCCTCTGTGTGAAAAAGATATAAAATATGTAAATATACACATAATGCTTATATATTGGAATAAGATAAAATCACTTAATATATTTAACATACCATCAGAATGAGATTTGCCAGGTGGAACTGGTGAAGAAATTCGTGAACTATTCATAGAAGCTGGTATACTTTGAGGACCATCAGTTTTGTTAAGTCCTTCAGTTAACCACGTTGAATATTTTTCTGTTTGACCAACAATAAAATTTAAATGTTGATCTAAAGCCTGCTTTCTTTTTTCTTCAAGTCTCGTTTGTTGTTTGTATTCCACCAACTTAACAAGTAAACGAAATATGCTCATTATTATATAATCATTTTTACAAAAATAGCATTTTAAATGTTATGAAAATAAATGTCCTGCATCAACTCTTTGATTACATTTTAATAATAAATACAACCATACACATATTAGCAGACTTTGCTGTTCCCACTACGAGCACACACTTTCAATTGGCATACATTGAAATTGTCGGCTTAGTGCGGGGTAGATTATTATTCTTACGAGTTATCAAATTTTCAATAACTCACCTTTTCCACATTTGCCCAGAATGTTTTGATTTCTTTAGCAATAAAACTAGCAATTTTCTTTAACCTAAGTTCTTGTGATTTTTCAGCTTTTTGTGCTTGAATTGCTTTCTCTTGGAAATATTTCTGTACCATGCGAGCACATTTTTTTGCTGCAGCTTTTTTCCACTTTCGTTCTTGAGCAAAGTCAGCAGCTAACCAAACCATCTCTTCTAATAAATAATCCCAGTGAGCCTTTGTACGAGGTGGTTCCTGTACCTTAGGCAATCTCCTTTCTGACCATAGTCCTTCACGTTGTAATTCAGCAATCCTTTGCATAACATATGCTTCCTATAAATTAAAATAATTTCATAAGGATTGCATAATTACATAGAATATACAATTTTACAAAAATCACTGTACCTGTTTTGCTTTTTCTACAATTTGTTCTTGGTTATTTGTAATATCACATGAAGAAGCTGCATTAGAAGCAGGCATCTTTACAAGTTTAATAACAGGCTGAGAAGGTGTAGTAGGCGCAGTGGATGTTTTCGTAGTAGTGGTGGTAACGGTGGTAACAGTAGCGGTTGTGGTAGTTGTTCCGGTAAGAGTAAGAGTAGGAGTAGTCATGGTAGTAATAGTTGTTGTAATAGACGTAGCTATTGTAGGTTTATCTACCACTGGACTTGCAACTGTTGTTGTTACAGATTTTGGTGAACCTGGAACTATTGGTGCATTACCTGTAATGATGATAAAATAATTAATTACATACATGAACTAGTACATTCAGGAAAAGTTATAAAGATAATATACGTGTATTAACAGCGCCCTATTGCTGAAAGCACATTGCTAACAACATTAAAATGCTGTAAATTGATCTGCCCACAATGAGTAGACTGCTTCAAAATGTATAAATTTGATTCAGCCGTCTTTTGCGGGGACGTATAAACATATATTCTACAATATTCAAGGAAATATACCACCATAATGCATAAATAATTAACAAAAACGGACATAATATGCAGCAGTCAGAAAGTTTTGTCAAAGGAACAATCATTGTGTGAATGAATCATGGGTGTATATGAATATAATAAAATGATAATGAAAAAAAAAGTTACTACACTGTATTTTATTTAAATGAAAATCTGTTCTTTAAATTGTAAGAAAACATGCAATACCACAAAAATTGGATTACTAAAAGTGCTCACCACATCATGTTTATTCAATTAAATCTATGATAAAAGAAAATGTTCTATACATGGTGCAAAGTGATATCTGGTGCAATTATTCAATTAAGTGTAACCTAATTTTCATATCAATTGCTTATGCTTATTTAAGCTTGATCATTTCTCAACTTGTTCCAACACACAAAAAGCATAAAACAGAAACTCTATTCACAATTCAGTATGGTAAGAGTAAACAAATATCAAAAATAATTTTACAGAACCCAGTAAGAATTATTTTTAAACATCAAAATTAATGATTCTAAACATCAAATGATAAGCCTGCAGTAATCACCTATAATGAGCGTGGGTGCTAGAGTAGAAGTAGGTGGAGGGTGAGCTGTGACTGGTGAAGATTGAATTGCTGCTCGGAAGGCAAACACCATGCCATGGCGGCCCCCTTGAGGCCTACCTGGTACATGTCCTATTGTGCAAAGTAATTATTTTTTTGATACAAATTATATACTAAAACTTTGAATTGCTTTTCACATTGTCAAGCATATGTCTACTAAAGAGGAAAAACTAATGATATATTCATTTGTACATATCAAAATTTGTTGGTAGTTTTTATAACAAACTTTGATACATTACACATGGTTATAAATCCTCTATAATTTTTATGAAAACAAATGTTATGGTGTGCCTCCTAATGTTCTAAGGAAAATGACTAGTGTTAAGTATAAAACAGTATTATTTTATTAGACAACAGTTGTGAACTACCATAGTATGAATTAAATTATTATATTAGTTACAAACATTTTTACAACAAACATGTGCTTACCTTGTTGATTAAGTTGGGCTACTGCAGCAGGCAATGTTGTAGAAACTGCAACTGGTGCTACATTCATACCAGAAATTTTTACTTCTGTACACTGATTCACAGGAACTATTGTAGAAACAGTTGTTGCAGTTGGTGTTAATGGAATTTCTGATATTGCTGGCAGTGGAGCTGTTAAATCTTCATCATCATCATCTGGATCTAATCTATGTTGCCGTAAAAAATGCAGATATTGAGGTGTTGGGGGTCTCCTCCTCCAAGTTTGAAAATCCATCATATTGCCCCCAGCATGAAGAAAGAATAGCTCTGATGCATTATCAGCATATTTCTCCCTTATTGCACGCATTCTTTTCATTTTGTGTTCCATAATTCTTCTTCTATAACCCATTGCATCATCAGCAATTGTAGTAGGTTTTTCAGTGGAGTCTGTTAACTTCAACTTTTTTCTTGCAGGTGGAGATTGCATAGAAGCTTGAGAAGTTGGTGCAACAAACATATTTCCTATAGAAGTTCGAACAAGTTTTGGAGATGTTGCTAAAACAACTTTAGGTGAACTCTGACGTGTAGGAGATGTAAGAGGTGAACTACTTGCACCTGCAACTCCCACAGTACTTGCACGTGGAGGTGTACCACTAATATTAACAATTCTTGTAACACCAACTTGTTGAATATTTGCATTTGTTGTTGCACTACTTGATATAACCTATAATTGTTTTTAAAAAAGAGCAAGTTATTCAAATATTCATTACATATAAAAACAACTCTTAAACAAAATTAAAAGGAACATGCACCTGTGTAAGACCAGGAACCTGTGAAGTAATAACAAATTGCTGCCCAGCTCCTGTGGTGATGACATTAAGTCCTTGGGCAGTAGCAAGAACTTGTTGCAAATTAACTGTTTGTTGTGGTACACCTCCATTGCTTCCTCCATTGTTGCCTCCACCCCCATTAAGGGGCGGTAAAATAGGTGCAGTCTGCTTATCACTCATTACACATTACACTGTAACATCAATTGATTGTAAATATTAATATTTAAGGCATCCATATTTTTCAAAAGTATTTAAATCTATTTTCCATTATACATGTAATATTATTGTACTGATATTATAAAAAACATTGATAACATACATAAAAATATAAATACATATAAAAATATATATTTTAATTAAAAGTATATTTATTCAACAAACATTATTATTAAGAAATCATTATCATTAATTTTTGTTTACTACATCAAGTTTTTTTTTAGAAACTGTACAGCATGTTTACATTTAGATCAGACTAATAAAAAAGAAACAAAAAAAAAAAAACAAACATAAGAAACCAAGTAAAATATCGACAAAAAAAAATGAATAAATTAAAAACTGAAAATATTTAGTAATAACTTCAAGTTGTAAACTATGAAATATTGTATTAGAAAAAAGTTTTCTTTGTCAATTACATGACTATTTCACAATAAAAAGTAAACATGTGAAACCGTTAATTGAAGGAAAACATATACAACAAACAACAAACTGAAGCTTCACAGATTACAAACAATAGTTTATTTTCCAATTATTTAAGGTATGTGAACAATTTTTCATTGAGTTTTAATCGAAATATATACATTTCAACTTCGTGTCAAGTAAGATAGTTCCAATGAATCAAAACGAGAACGTTAATTGATTTGTGAAAAAAGCGCCGAAATCAAAATTTCTCCGTTGATCCAACTGATACACCACATTGGAATTTGTAAAACATGCGTATTGCGCAAAAGAAAAAATACCCCCAAAAATACAGCGTCATGAATAGCCAGAACGTATCCACAATCGGTTGAATGGTAAAATAAACGATGTCATTTAGAATATCAAAAGATTGTAAAGAATACGCGAACGTCCGATATCAAGCATTCAGGGCGTTCAAGTTTTCTTATTAGAAAAATGTCAATTTATCTTAATACAATAACAACAATCGTTATACCAGTATATCGGTTAAGCTTTTTAGTAGTAAAAACAGTTTTTCTAATGTTTTAATGTATATCGTTTCCCAAAAGAATGCATTTTTCACAATTGCGTCAGTGGAGCCTCGCGGCGATACAAAGGAAATTTTTCGTCCGCCATGTTGGCGTTGGTCTGATAGGAGGGCGGACTTACCATAATGTAATCACAAAATTCTGCGACGTAGGTGAGCCATCCACGAAAATAATTGTTACACCCGTGATCGACGAGCGTTAAATTGTAATTAGGTACTTCACGTAATGTACAGTGCATGAGCTATATCTAATATTTTACAGAACATTTTCGCTCGACTCGCTCAAGGACGCACACACTTCTAAACATGGCGACGGCTCCCGACAAATTTCGACCGCGACCAGACCGAGAGCAGCTTGCTACTTCACGTTTACACAAGCTACAGAGAGATGCCGCTCCAACTGGGCGCTGATTCTACGATTGGTCGAATGCAACCGGATACTTGGCAACGTGGCAGTATCAAACGCTTCCGATTGGTTACTGGTAAAAATATTAAAAGGACTCGTTTTCCGACTAGCAAATCAAATCAGCAACTATTATTTCTGGATGTAAAACATACATTCTGCGAAATCTATTACTATATAAAGTACTACGTATGTGAGAATTATTAATAAATAGGTAATACAGTTTATTACTTTATAACAGGAACGAAATATACGAAAAACTTTCGTTGAAATTGATAAAGTAGTTTGATCTGATTATTTTCTAAACAATTAATTTTCTGTAGATTATTCACAGAATAAATACTTTTATGAAGTTCGGAATAAGAACATTGAAATTATTTTGTAATAGTAAATTACTATTCTTTATAGATAACGATTTTATAAAATGGTATGTGCAACCGACAAATATGGTCATACATTACATGCAGTATTACATCACTTTACATTCGTAGCACTAGATGTGAAGCTGTTATCCAAATGTTTCAATTCAATTTATAGAACGAATAATCTGATATCATGAAATTATGAATTTTTTTAAACATTTGCTTTTCTATTAACAACAACACACCACATGGTTGATCGATTCAATAATGTACTCATGTAATTAAATGTTACATATTTTGTACTATTTCCTTTCTTTTGCGATTTTTATAGTTATTGTTCATTTAATAGAAATACATACAAATTTTTTAAAAACTAATAAAAATTTTTTAATTTCATCTCTTTCTTTCCATAAAGAATTTATTCTCCAGAGATAAAAATGGATAAAATTTTAAAAATATCATGTGCAGAATAAATGTATAGACAAAATAAAATAGCTCCAAAATTCCGATCAAATTTCATAGTGAGCGCAACATGGTTGCCGAGCTATATATGTATGTTTAAGCACACCACGTGTTACTTACGACCATTACGACGTTAATATTCGTAGCATGAATGTAAGTGAAGTCAAAAAAAGGGAGAAGAAGGTTTTACTTACTTTTTCGTTGACCTTCGTTCAATAGCTTTTTATACTGGCGAATGTGTGTATTTTCTAACCAAATTCGAAAAGACATATATCCACGTACTGAACACATGCGCGACTTCTCGCGAGACAACGTATGCTAAACACATTTTTAAACGCAATGACAAAGATCCAATAAGCTTTAACAGAGAAAATCGTGACTGTATCTACAATAGATTGCAAGTGAATCATGATCAAGTAATAAGTGTAATTTAGAATACTTAAGCTTATAACACGTTTTTCTGATCCTACTTGATTTTGCTATGCTTAACGAGGTGCCCGCGTGTGATACGTACAATCGTAAGAATGACGCTGAGGTCATTTCGGTACTCAGCGCATCATCTTTTGGGTACCACTGTTACATTTACATTGATCTACGTAGTATACGCGATAATGATTTGAAATTCCTACTTAAAATGAACGACAAGAAATAATTATTTTATTACCAAGTTTTTAAATAATCATAAATTTTTAAGCAAATGTTTTAAAATTAAATTATGTTTCCATAACAATTGATTATATGTATCACGTAAATTAAAATAAAATTTACGTAAATATTGACTTTAATTTTCCGGAAGTTTGTTTGTGCCTATTTTATACTGTGATTAATTTGAAACAATAGATACGAAACTATTGGGAATTAAAGTTTAATAGATATAATTTACAACTAGTGATCAAGACATTTATTATCGTAAATATGACAAAATTGAGTTCAGACATAAATTGGAAATTATCAAACGTTGTGCTAGAACAATTAGAACGTAAACGTATTTATACTCTTGTACAATTTGTAGATGAAGCTTCTGAAAAATTAGCAACTTTTACAGGGTTAATTGAAATTAAGCGAAATATTTTACAAAAATACGGAGGTAGAGTAAAAAATGCTTGCGATTTACTTAAAGTAGAACAAAATAATATAATTCCCACGAATTTGTCAAGGTACATATCATTAAATTGTACTTAATTCAGCAGTAATTGAAAAATTAATAATAAATTCAACTGGTTAGTTTAGACAGCTTATTAAAAGGTGGTTTACATCCTGGTCAAATATATGAAATATGTGGTATATCTTCAAGTGGAAAAACACAACTATGTTTAACAATTGCAGCTAACATTGCACTTAAATCCAATAATCTTGTACGATATATTGATACTAAAAGAGACTTTTCTGGTTCAAGAATAGAACAAATTTTATTACAAAAAAATTGCAATAAGCAGGTATTAAAAATGAAATATTGAATGTTTTAAGTAAGGAATCTGATTGTTATTTGAATTGTAGGTTATAGATGAAGCTATGGAACATATCAAAGTATGTTCCATACATACTTTACATCAACTGTTTAAAGTCTTACGTTGGTTATCAGTTAATTTAAAAGAAGAAAAAGAAGATTGTCATACAAGGGTCATAATTATTGACTCTTTACCAGCAGTAATTTTTAAATATTCTAATGATTCAAAATCAACAACTGCATTAAATCATTTGGCAAATATTTATCAATTTATTGCAAATGAATTTCATTTATCAATTATTAATGTTAATTTAATTACTCAGTGGAGTACTGATAGTGAAAAAGGATCAACTAGTACATGTTTAAATGATGTAGTACCTACTTTAGGAAAATATTGGTCACATGTTCCCAATACAAGATTGTTATTAGAAAAAATTGGATTAGGAAACAGAAAACTTTCTATTTGGAAAAGTTTTCAAACTTTTTATAAAACTATCAAGAAGTGTTCAATTAATGCCACCTGCAATATATTAAAATGATAAAATAAACGAATGTTAGCTATTAATTAATGCAATAAAAATATGATTAAATTTTTTACTTGCGTACTTCATGTTTACCGCTAACTTTGAAAGTATGACACTGTTCACGGTAACTTCCGGTGACGTTTGTTTCGCAGCGTTGCCGCATTTTGTGAGTGTGGACAGTAGCATAACAATTTATAATGGTTATATTAGATTAGTGTTTGTTAAAGTATATTGTTAATTAATTGGTAAGAACGATGGCTTCCTTAGTTGCGGATTATGGAACTTCCTCGAGTTCAGAAAGTAGCAGCGATGATATTTCGGACGGTGCTGATAACACGTAAGCTTCCTCCAACATGAGCATGTTTCCCTATTGTTTGTGTTCTTCCTTCATATAACCCCTAATAAACAGATAAATGTTAAGATCCAAAATGAATTATTACTGTGATATTACACCCTTATCCTTGTACTTTATACAAATATTCATTGATTTTTGTGAGACATAGTGTCGCTTGCACTCACGGAATGAAAATAAAAAAAAAAAGATGTTTACTTTTCCTTAAATCTTACATTCTACAATATTAATATAACATTGATCTTTTTTTGTTATAATGTTTTGGTTTTACGGTTTTTGCAATAAAATTTTGTATAAATTTAAATAATAAACGAATAGCTGTGTATAAGCAGTTTTATATTTATTCTTATCTGTGTAAACATACAGAGGTATATATTAGTATATAATTTTCGTATGCTTATATTAATGCAAATAAATTGGTGTATTAAATCACAGTTGGTACTTTACACATCAGATTGAATTTGTTCTTTGTAATCTGATATTGCCTAACCCTTAGTTTTAAGGAAAAGGAAGAAGGGGATGATGAAGAAGAAGAAAATAATGAAAACAATGAAGGGGTAAATAAATCAGCTTCCAAAGAAAAACTTCCATTACCAACTCCAGACTTTAATGGCATGCCTACCATGAAAACTTCAGTCTTCTCAAATCCATTTGTTGAAGCAGAGAAAGCAAAGAGTGCAATTCTTGAAAAACATGTGAAAATGACTCCAACTCTTGATGATACAAAAATGATAAATGGTAGAAAGATTTGCTGGAATTATAGGAAAGGTAGATGTCGGTTTGGTCATAATTGTACCTTTGCACATGATTCTGATTTACATCGTACAGCAGCTGAATTAGAAGCAATTCGAACACCACAGGAAACAGTTATTTGTCAAACTCAATATAATGGTCAAGTTCCCATTAATGAGGATGATGAGATAGATCAAGAAAATAATCAAATGAGTAAACGTAAAAAGAGGCCAGGATTAAGTCAATCCTTAGTACCTAGTAAGAAAGTTTTAAAAATGTACAAAGCACAACAGGCTAAAGCTATTAGTAGATAAATGTAATTGTGTCAAGTATACAAGTAATTTTAACATGTAATTAGCTGCTCTAAACAGAAAATAATTTATGATTTATATGCTTTATAATTCAAATGGATTGATCAAGTGAAATTGATTGAAAATTGCATAAAAAATGAGTGAGAAAAGCATGAAATGCTTTGTGAAGAAGAGAACAGTATAAGAGATTAACGAATTCCTTATATATCAAGAGAAGTTTAAAAAAATGAAACAAATATATGCTTCCAGTAAAATTATACAAAAGATCATGACACACATAAATTATACCTACTTCAAAATCAATTGAAAGTTTCAGGATTATTTAAATACTACGCAATATTTATAAAAAGCTATTTGTTGTGTATATAAAAAATAGAGTTTAATTGTATAATTAATACTTCCAGGGACCTGCATAAATGGATCATAATTCATTATGTCTTGCATGCAAATAGTTTTATAAATATATTTCTATTTATACTTGGTACACTTAACTTGCCCATGGAAACAAAAACATGTCTTCTTAACACTTACATTTTGTTATGTAATTTCATGATCTATATGTCTCTGTTTTACCAAAAAGAGGCAGCTATTTGAAAGTTTTCCTGCATCAGAATTCTGAAGTATTTACAAATAGTCAGAAATACTATTCTACCTAAATATTACATAAAGTATCACTACAGCTTTAATAAAATTTTTTAGACACTGTTTAATGTACAGAGTAAAAATTATCATCTATGTAAAAGTGATGTATGTAAAAAAGGATTATGTGAGTTATGTACAATATTGTTAATACTTTTTCTTGATAAAGCTATTTAATCTAGTATCTAATTTAGGTACTAACAGTAACATACAATTATAATAATGGTATACCAAAAAGAACAATTACGCTTCCATTATGCATTACTTTTTACATAATGTTATAAGATACGAAGGACAGGGCATACATAATTCTACATGGAAAAAGGAAATATTATGTATTTGTTAGTTCTGTTTTTATCAGTGTAATATGACGCAGCTTCCTTTTCATGTGATTTATCTGCTTAAGTATTTTTATCGGTAAAAATTTCTTTATTTAATACGAATTATAAAATGTCTACTTTCTGTATACTACTCCATGTTTCCATAAATTGAAAAACTCGAGAAATCGAATGTAGTACCAGAAAATGAAAATGCATTGAGAAATATAATAGGTTTGTAAGTTTTCCTTTTTTATTATGTATAGCATTAAGTTTATGAAAGAGAATTTTCTGAAAAATAGCAATAAATCACAGTGACCAACATGTTATTGGTTTGTATTCTTCTCCTAGTTGTACCACACGAAAATACGTATAAGCCTTAATCTGAAAGCAGAACGGTAATAAATTATTCAGTTTTGATATTAATAATTGAAAAGAACGGAGCGGGGAAGGGGTATTAAAATGGACAAAAATGATAGGCACATGACATTTTATTAGATAATCATGGGTACAATATGAGTTCAGATCAATTATATGTGGTATAAGTGCATTGATAACTGATTATTGCATCTTTCATTGAAAATATATATTTATATATCATTCTTTTCACTTCCGTGACTGAACATCTCACAGGCACTTTGTCTCTAAATAATGGTTAAATTTGTGATAAATGTTTCTATGTAAAATAAGCATATATATAACCATCACAGTTTATGTTCATTAAGTTATGATCAATGATGAAATAATTTTTATCGCTAAAATAATAATCATTTAGTAATTACTTCTTTTTTCAAATTAAGTTTCTTTATGTGGGACTACAAGACTCAAAAATTGATATTTTTATTCAGCCCAACAGTATTTCCAATAAGTTCAAGTATTTTGGATTTACATCTTTCTGGAAACATCTGTTAAGTACTAGTATATTCGGCAAGTATCTTGTCACGAATATAATACAGAATTCTGACAATACTGTAGAACAGTACAATCGTTGAACCATACTTTTCGTGGTTAGTTAATACGATTATTCGTTAAAAGACAAGTAAAATATTAGATTCAACTTGACATTTTATGGGAGACCCACTAATAAATAATTTACTTACAAAACTTGTAATTACAACTAGACAGTAAGGACGAAAATTTCTTCTCTTCTACGATACAATTTATAAATTGAAACTTGTTTCTCACATTAGTGCAGAATATTAATCTTCTATCGAGACAATGTTAAACATTTCTAAAGGAAAGTATACTTCACACTGATCGTATGTTCTTGATTAATTACGTAGCTCTATACGTGTTTTGTATACTATGCCACTACATGTATTTTGTATCACAATCATTTATAGTAATTTCCTTAAATAAAGAGTTACAACAATACTCTAGGTAAGATACACAACGAAGTAAAGAGATGAAAAAGTGAAGTGAAGTGATTCAGATGTAAAAATACACGGTATATTAATCGACATCACTTGTTAAACAGATCTGTAAAAAATAAGTTACAGTCGAATTATTAAGTACATTTCGCGTATGAGATACCTCCAAAATGTGCACACAAGATCAATTAGAAAATAGGTATTACAGTTTGTAAAGTTTATTATTCCCCGTATTGCATAGGAAGTTTTAGATCGAGTTTAACTGTCAGTGCCAATGAAATACTTAATCCCTTTTCTTTTCTTTTTTTCTTGAATTATTTAAACAAGTAGCCCCTCATCATTGCCTAATATATTTACCGTCGTGTTTTCACAGTTTCGAAATGATCCACTCTCATTACACCCTTTCGCACTCGTTTTTTCATTTTTTCTTGGAAATTACATCGTTCAATGTTTCGTAGAACTAGCGCGTTCTTGACTATTGCTTTTTATGTTATTTTGTTCAACAAACTTCAAGTTACCATTCGTAACACCGTGGACACCATTTACAACTTTATCTACACCATTGACTCTACAATCAACTCCGTTTACTTGCTTTTTAGCTGATATATCTTTCACTTCTGACGGATTAATGTTTTTATTTTCTGTCGATCCAGATTCCGCGAAGCCTGCAAGAGCGTAATCTGTGCAATTCAAAAGAGACTGATCAAACGAAAGATCGTCTGTACTCGAAAAAGAATTTATGAAACAATCTTTCTTTTTTTTTTTTGTTTTATCAGTAAAAGACAAATTTAACAAGGAAAAGAAAATATCATAAGAGTACGTACCGTGTAAATTGTGGCAGTATTTATTAGTATTGTTCCATTCTTCCCGCAGACTCAGATTGAACATGCTGTAATCCGGATTTCCAGTGACCTCTTTCTCGATTGTCAGGAACTGTGGCAATATGTTTTTAAGCTCGATACCTGAGAGTGCTGTGTACGTTTCAAGTAACATCAATCCCCGGCATCTACGATAAAATCATTTTAATCTCACGTATCCTAACATACTACTACTTCCTCTATATCCACCATTCCTCTCTCAACGAATTACCTTGGATGAGCTGGCTCTCTGTATATGTCTAATTGGAAATACTGATTGTTAATGAGGAAACAACGTCGACGTTTGAAGATGGTGAAATGCGAGTCGTCGCGTTGAGCGAGCATATTCAAGTAATCACGATGAGTCAATTGTGTCTTCACTTCGATCACCTGTCCGCACATTTTCGGACGACGGATCGTGTGAATGTACGACCAGTGACCTGCCAATATAAATGTATGTATGATTTAATATAACCAAATATAGGATACGCAACTAGTACATACATCACATCAACAAGTGTATACGTTTGCGCACACCTTTTTGGCCGCGCTTACGGAGACGAGCTTGCATTTTCGGAGTGTTGCTCTGGAGGTAGTTGTGGACGACATCGAAGTCTTGGAACGGCGGGAACTCGGAATCTGGCGGTAGAGGACCCTTCACGAGGAACTTAACTTTACAACTGCTCGCGCGCAATCTGTCTCCGGTATCTATGCCTAGTTTCTGGCATACGCACTCGATCATACGACAAATCTTCGCCTCGAAATCTTGCGAATTGTCGATCACATCGAAGTAAGGATGTCCTACCCATGCAGCGGCCGCTTTATAATCCAGCTCTCTAGCTACTTCAACGCCTTCTGATCTACACGCATGATCCTCCGTCGAGTAGAAATCTTCAGCGCCGTTCGCTGCTGAGACCATGTGAATGATCTGATTATACCTGTTATCTCGTAACTCGACGTTATTCCATCCGTTCGATGCCATCATCAGTTCCCACTTATCCTTGGAAATAACTAAAACAAAAGAGGAAGAAACGATTAGGGATGGAATTTTCATCTATTCGTAGGAATTGTAGGAAAAAGAATGACCGATAGTTACATGCAGAGGCATCCATGGCACCGCGATCACAGATAATAAGGCAATTCCGCGATGAACTCTCGCCCAGCTGGAAGAACGTATTTTCGATCTGTATCATCGTGCGCAGTAAGTTCTCTTGAAATTTGAATGCTGAAACAGATGAATTTAAATCGCGTGTAATTTGTCGATTATATTAATATTACACAGGGCAAAAAAGCTATTTAGTTTCCCTTATATTAAGAATCAAGCTACCATAGGCTGAACGCAAAATTACGCCTTTTTCCAGCGCTCGCGATTTTCTTTACGTAATACACAACAGCCAGGCATGAATTAATTGGTCACTCGTTTATTAGCTTACACGCCGCCGTTGATAAGCGATAATGATCGCGTATATAACACTGTTACGAGAATAAAGATCGATTTAAATCCATTTGATACCGACGTTTAAACAATCGACAATTCTTGCTCTCTTACGAAATTTTCTCCTATTTTTCTTTCACACCGAGGAAAAAAAAGGAAGGTAAACGTCAGGTCAGAATTTAATCGTCAGAAGACAAAAATAAACGAACGACGGGTGTTATCTGCAAGATTTAAGACGCACGGAATCCTCTATTTCTATTGTTATCGTGAAACGCAGTGTGTAATCACATGGCACGGTGTGAATCGATTGCAATTATAGCTTCGAGGCTAAAGAAAACCGTTCAAATCTCTGCTCTTTCTACCTAATCTCAAAAGCTGTTCTCTATCACGTATCTCTCAAGCTCTGTTATCTGTAATTTCTTAAGTAACTTTGTATTTCGTATCTTGACCCAAAAAGTCAAGTCTGTGTCCGTGTCATGTCCGGTTTCCGATACGCTTCTCTCCCCTGGCCTAATCGAACAAATACGGTCGTCTTCGCATATTCAGATACTCGTTTTCACTCTTTCTCTCTCTCTGTCTACCAAAGATAATGGTTATACATCGTTCGAAACGTTCGAAACTGGCTCGTAACATGCGGTTCACTGCTGCAATACTTCCGAAGAGTAGGGCTCTTTCTTATCTCCGCGGCACAAAGTCACCACAGTTTCCTTCGTGAAAAACCTCTCGTTTTTTCCCCGTTTTTTCTCAGTCGAAGAAGAAGCTTGACGGGATACAGCTTTGCGTGCGTTGTTCTCCGGTTGGAAGAGAATATCCAATTAATGGGGGACGATCGTTCCAAGTCCCTAACACACATCCCTTCACGCGACTTCATCCAATAATCGTTTGCCAACGACTGTCGTTTCTAGTTTCTATCATCGAACCGGATCCCTCTGCGCGTTAACCTTTTCCACGTCTCCGACCTCCAACCGTCGCCCAGTAATTCACCAGGCAGAAACGATCGAGTAATGGCTCGTAGGTACGTCTTTACGATTTTACGGATGAACGAGGCCGGATATCGAGTACCATGTGCCTCCCCTCGAACGCGCGATTAATGGTGTTGAACATCTAGCGTGAACGCTTTGCATACGTTATTACTGCTGCTGGCAACGAGAGGCTATACTGGCAGTGATTCCAAATCGAAATATACGATTAGCTCGTTTACTAATAAAGGAAGATCTGCTAACCCTGGCAAATATCTCGTACCGATTTACCACGCGACAATGATACAGAGACTGATAATATACGGTATCTAAGAAAGGCTAATGTCGAGGATCGAACGAAGACAAGGGTTGTAGAAGAGTGTACACGAGAGAGATATAGCAGAGAGGTGGTGCGAGTGATGAAAATGCTCAAACCTGATAATACCCAGTGCAGCAGATGACGATCACTCGCCTCGATTGATCCTACAGGCGGATTTCTAGCAGCGGGAAAAATCGGTTTTTTCAGACTGGCTTAGCAAGTCTCTCTTATTTTCGACAGTGTTAAACCACGCTCAGAGATTCTCGCTTCTCTTCCGGAATGTATGTACATATGTATATACAGAAGAGGCGGCGGAGAAGAGATAGAATGGAGCTGGAGGAAAAGCAGAGGGTGGTTAAAGTAATCTTTGATTTGTTTCTTTTCTCTCGTTTAAAGTGGCGAAAATAAGACAGAGAGCTGGTGTTAATTTCGCCTCTAAAAACTCACCCTCACCAGAGTCAACCTCCAAGATCTCCGGCCACCTTGCTTCGCCTTTGTCCAACCTGTTCCTGTAACGTCGTTGCGAGGACTTCGTAATCGAAGGACACGACCCGGATCCCTTTGCTAGAACCAACCGACCTTGAAGACACTTTCAACTCGATAAGCCTTCGCTATGTATTTTATATCCCCATTTTTCGTTCAGCTTTTCCCTTTTCCTCTCTCTCTCTCTCTCTCTCTCTATTTTTCCTCGCGTGCTTTTAATGAAATCGTTTCGATGCACGATATTCTCTAACCGCCAACGTTATTACAAGTTTTTCACTCGTAAGTAATTGTGTATCGTTTGTCATCGAAATTGCTTGCCATTGTGCACGCAAACCCGTGCTGTCTCCGCGCGATACGGATTTCTATTCCCCTCCACCCAACCTCCGTCGATTCCCCATGCAATTAAGCTTCTTCCGCGAAACTTTGTAATGGAAAACCTGGGATACTATCCACCTATTACGGCAATTACGTCGAACGGGAATAATATCAGCTTCTCTCTTTTCGCCAAACGAATTTTTCTCATCCGAAACTTCACTTTCCTTCGAGCGAAACGAAAAAGGCTGGATTATCTTGGATATGATCACCGGTGGAGAATTTATCGTTTCTCCTCTTCTCTACTCGTAAACGAAGAGAAACGAAGGTTGAAGCTTCGTGTTACCAGTTGAGAAATGAAATCGAGAAGAAGAGTAGCCTTACCATCTAGCATATAAATAGCTAAGAATGAAGAACCACTTGCATCAGCGGACACGTGGCTACAGTAAGAATCTCTGGAAACGAAACTGTCGCACCACACTAAGAGGATGTGCCGTTTCGGTGGCAAAAAAGAAACGAGGATGCAAGCCGCCTGTGAATGTCTATCTCGACGATCGTTTTACGTCGACAACGTTCAAATTCAGCACGTTTTCACAGATAGAAGAAGGTCGTCGAGTTCTTCGTTGTCCCTCTTTCGATCAAGCCTACGATTATCATCGCGAAGAAATATCGTCTAATTCGAATATTGGACGGAGAAGAAGCTGTATCAACACAGTTGAAATAATTTCGTTCTCTGAAACGGGTTTCGTGCCCATTTAATGAAACTTTTTACGTAATTGCCGGGACGCGAGGAGAGAAAATGTACGTAATGGAATACGCATTAACCAACCGGCCACTGCGTCAACATGCTTTTGCTGATCGCGCAAATTGATTCGACCTATTCCAACTTGCGATATCCTGTCTTAACCGGAAGACTTGTAAATTGTAACCGGTCGTTATTAATCTCCGATGCAAGCTGAACCTTGGATGAACGGACCAAGCTTGTCCGTTCTTCGTCCGAGAATCTCTAGGTAAATTGACGAAAAATAAAGGAAAAAACCAGGAATGAAAACTACTACGTCGTTTAAGCCGGATACAGGCTTCAGTCGTCACGGTTGCACTAAGTCATCAATATTTCATACACTCGACTGCTTTTTTTCTCCTTTTTGCCTCATTTGCATACTGAATCGCGTTTTACGATACAACTCGAACTATCCTAGCGTTTCTAACGAGAACCAGAATAATCAAATCAAGCGTAGCTCCTTACACCGTGTCGGATGAAACGTTCTCGAGAAATGAAGCGGTAGAAATATCTCTCGAGAGAAAAACAACGTGCAAAGATGATCGACGAATGAACGTTAAAAAAGAAAAATCTCGTTTCTCTGTGATGCGCTTGGTTTTAATCAACAACGGTCTGACGCGTTTTCAACAGCTCCGACGTCTCTTCTTTGAAACGTAATTTCGTTTTCACGTCAGCTATCCGCTCCGCCGTTGGAATTTGGCGCTTGAAAAGCCAACCGAGAGTGGAAATATAGGTTTTCGAGCACGCCTAACATCTCTCGACCCTTCTTTCAACTTTCACCTAAAATCGTTGAAAGAATTTTCAACGTCCCTTACTTTTTTCTCCCCTTCTTCTCGATCGTCTAGAATCGAACGGAAGAATAATTGTACGCAGCTCGGATTACAATTTACAGCGAGGTGTGAAAAAATCGCGGAAACATTAGGTGTCTAAGGCAATTACACAGCGGCGAAGTCGTAATAAAGGCGTGCTACTGGCTGACAGCCAGGAAAATAACGCGTCTCTGTAACCGCGATAGAGAGGAACCGACAATCGAATGGACGCGTCGAATATGAATTTATTAATAACCTTGCTTAGTATAACGAATCTATTGCCGTGTGTCCGTCGATGAAAATACTATCGAACAGAATATAGAACGGATCGTCATCAACGACCTACATTAAACCAACGAACGCAGTCCGTGTCGCGTTTAGTTGCGGCAAATGATAAGGCTTTTACGGCTAATTTCACGGCTAAATATCCCTGATACCATTTCCGAGCGTTTAGCGTATTTTCGCGAAAGGAAACCTTAGAACCGTTTCCGTGTATCGATCAGAAACGATCCGCGGTAAAAGGTAGATGGAATTAATCGCGATGAAAATCGACGGTCGTTCTATGCGCGCGCAAAGAAGCCAAAATGGTGGAATTGGTCGCAGGAAGCCCGATTTGTATCGGTGTTTCAAGGCCGCGGATTAAACCCGATAAATAGCTTTACGTAAGTCTAATCAGGTTGAAACGAGCACGTGCACGAGCTTAAAGAAAACGCGCAATTTCAGGAAATTGGTGGTACCCTAATTGGAATTCCGTCAGCGGAGTAGTTGGGAAGAACTCGAGGATCGTTTAATGTCAAAGAACCTGTTGGAACGTTCGAAAACGACGAAACTGGTATTTCAATTTTGCAAAAAGTATTAGGCAACAGAGTGAATCTGGCAAGAAATCGTTAGAAAATGGTGGGACACGTGTTTCACAACGGAATTCAAACGTACATGTAGTTGGAAATAAAGACAGGTACACGGAGTAACAACGAATCGGGATCGTTTGAAGTAGATCAGACACCGCGTACCTTACCCTACTTCGCGACCAAACTCTGATCCGAATCTTTCGGCGATTATATAATTTTCGGTTGGTGTATTATTATCCATGGTTGATTCTCGAAACGGTGTTTGCAAATAGAATAGAAAATTCGCCGCGGATCGCCCGCCGCGATGTTACAAGGATCGAGACACGTCGTTCGATTCTTAACGGATCGCGATATATCCGCGTTCGAAGCGGGTTAAGTGGCCGCGAACCGTACAAGCACACTTTTCTCTCGCGTAAATATTTCGCCTGCTCTTAACCAGGAACAAACATCGAGGATTCGCCGCGCGGGGGTAATTAGATGGAAGGGATTTTATCCGAGAGACGGTAAACCTGGTAACGTGTCAATCAGATGAACAAGCGCTACCGTGGAATAAAGTGGGTCGTTAAACAAAAGGCGAGAAAAGTGGAGAAGAAATATTTCCACGGGGATTTTCCCTCGTATTTTCATGGACGAACGTACGTGGACACGTTCCACTCAACTGTCGCTTCCACGGGAAATTAATAGTTCGTTTTTCACGAGGTGAGATCGTTAAAATAATCGCGTTGTAAAATTTATAATGTGCAGCCTTGCATGGACGAAAAAAAAAAAAAAAAAATGAACCGACGACATCGATTCTCGAATTTATTAGCGTTACACGTTCCGTCGGTATTGCAGCACCGTATAATTAGATCCGAGTGATTGATACGGTAACGAGTAGCCAGGTGAGAAGAAGGGTCTATCGATGACCTATCGAGGAATAATTAGAAGAAATCGATGCCTAAGAAGAAGATAGAGATAAAGATGTTTAGTATGTAACCGAGAATGAAATATATCGGACGATAAATCTCCATATTTGGACGTTGATAAATTTCCCTAGGCCAGGTCACCGACAAATATTTCTAGATCTAACAAACCACGATGATCTCTTTTTCTCTCATCGTTCTTCTCTCCGACGTGTACCAAAGATATTCACGTTATTCTTTTCAACGCGCCTTCTTCTGTTTGTCTATTTTCTTCTTCGTTCTCATTTTTCATAAACTAAAAACGACGTCTATAGAGGATTTACGTTGCCGACTGGTTTATGCCTGCCGTTCGTTGATTGCTTCCAAAACACCGGTGCGTCTCGTGACTCGATCGCGGCCGCCTCTAGATTCTTGGCAAGCTGCCGGTTTCGATTTTACGCAATCACCGGACGATGTTATACATTGGCCATTCTTCTTTGGTCCACCCGCAACCGACTGTACGGATTGTTCTGCCTTTGAAGCGAGCGTCGTCATCTTTTCCCTTTTTTCCTCTCTCGCGCTTCTATTATTAAAAGCATTTTCTCCGACGCGTCGGTCAATTTTGCCTCTTCGAAATCCTCTCGAACCGTGACCAACTATGACGATGAGAAATCGAACGTAGAGCAAGGTGACGAAATATTGCGTAATTCTACCTGACACACCGTCGATCATTTTACCAATTCAAATCAGAAACAAGACACTCTGGTTTTTTATTTGATTTTCTAAATTAGAATTCAAGCTTGATACGCGTTTAAAAAAGCAACCTACAGGATGCAACTTGAACCCTGAATTCCCTCTATATCGAGACATTCTCATCCAAGTATCGCTAGATCTTATCTGTTTCCGGTCCCGGTACATTTATATCCCGGAAAATATCGCCGCGGTTTCAGCAAATTTCTACACACTCTCGAAACCTAACATTTCTCTTTTTTTTTCCCCCCCCCGTATCGTTTCGTTAGCGGTATCTGGCGCCATGTTCGCTCCCTTTTGAAACGTTGCTCGGTGAAAACGCGCCTCGAATCATTCTAGACTGAAGAGAGAGGGCGGAGGAGCGGAAGGGTGTGAGAAAGGTGCGAGGGGCAATTCGAGGGTGTCATTGAACACGACTACCCCGGGACTAATGGAAAGTTTCGTCGATATTATCATGACAGTCGACGCATACGCAACGATATCTACACTGGAGCAAGAGCAGAGCTAGGGTTAAAACGAGAGGGAAATAAGAGAGGTGGCTCGCGCGCGCGGACCTCGTCGATCGATACCACCGTGACATTGTCGCGTCTCTACGCAAAATTACGCGTTATTCGCCACCCGTTAATCGCGTGATAAACGCGGCACACGCTTATCTGTGATGAAACTTGACGGAAAAAAGAAAAAAACCAAAAAATGCACAAGCTTAATCGTTAGCAATTTTCTCTGTTCTTGCAACGAACGAAAGTTTGGACAAATTTTGCTGGGAGTAAGACGTTTCCTCGAGCTTTCGAGCCAAGGAAATTCTATTGCTATCCTTTAATAGTAAACGTATACACAAGTTTCTCTTATAGTTTCCTCACGTAGGTTAGTAAAAGTGTTTTATCGGTTACCATAAATGTGCGAGCAAGATTGACCAAGTTGGAATACCGAAGAGTACTACTGTGTACGTGTACGTGGTAACGCGTTCTCCCGGGGACGAGACGCGGAATTTAAAACGCGGCGGCGAGTCCTGGTTCGTGTGTGAGAAACCTGGCGAACGAATTTCGGAACGGACTAAAGCTAGAGAACGGGAGTAGAAAATGAAAAGTTCAAGTGGACTTACCCTCTTCAGCGTTCAGGTCTGAAAACTTTATGCCGCCGCTGAAATGGAAAAAGCAGACGAGGGATGAAATAGTTGGTAAATTAAAGTGGCGAGAGGTTTTGGAGGACACGGTGGAGTATCGTCTAATGGAGCGTGTGTATCTTTTTTTTATTTTTTTTTTTTTCAGCTTGGAAAAACGGAGTGATCTATCTTGGAAGACAGATGTCGTCGTGGTGTCTCTCTCGTATGCGTGATTTCGTCGTTTCGTTAAAAAATATACACAAATGAGACAGAGATATTTCGTTTTAAAATGAAGATATAGGAGGATTTGTTATTTCTTTCTGTTTTTTTTTTTATTATTGCTCATTTCTGCGAGTTTCGTTTTCTTTCTTTATCAAAGTCGTCCATTGGCATGCCACAGTAACGATATATGAGAATAGTAACACAACACGATGCATGAGTGTATTCGTGGAATAACTGTTGAACCCGATGATACATAACGCAACAAACACACGTTCGTTTCGTATCGATTGATTTTACACCCGATGAATCATCGTTTGTCACGATCGGTATGGTATGTGGTTTTTTTTTTCTTTTTTACGTTCTTTTGATCGTCTACAAAGGATGTTGTATGTTACACCCGGTACAATACTCCCGTGTTTTTCGTTCGGTTTGTTACTAGAACCACAGTGTTCTTTTTCTCGCCCTACGCCTATCGCGATTGTTATCACTATTAGTACAGTTTCTCTATGTCTCAATCAATAATTCTATGGACTGGACAGCGAAAGGTGACGGCGTAAGCTCCGGGCGAAAGCTTTAACGTACGAATCAAAGCGATTCCTCGAGCAAAGGAAATCAAATCACGTTTCCATCAATATGAAAGAACTATCAAAGAACACACCAATTCTCTCTCTCTCTCTCTCTCGTTTAGAGGCTCTTTCACAGTTCGTAGCAGATTGAGGGAAACGTAGGAGAAAATGATTTTCCATGATAGAAAACGCTTGAAATACGTATCGTTATGAAAGAAACTGTCGTCCATTTGCTATATCCATTCCTCTCTCTGTCCCTGTAAATTTGTTATCGTGTAATTGCATACCTGAGCAGCACGGTCGCTGTCTCGGGAACACGGAACACCTGAAAAAAAAGACAACCAGCGCTCTATCGTATCCACATCGAAGGGTGATTACCCCAAAATCAGTTCTCATATCCAATCTCAATTCTCTTTTACATTTCACCATAATCGCTTCAGAAACTCTAGGATTTTACGTACTAGACAATCTTCCTTTTTCTCTTTCTCTTTCTTTCTCTCTCTCTTTCTTTCTCTCTTGATTGTGAAAGGAAAAATCTTTATCAATAACTGTTTGGTGAGGTGTAAGAAAAATTGTGCACGTGTATATATAATTAAAATTACGCGTAGTTGTACGTAGTAGTACTGTTTAAAATTTCGTGAGAATGAAGATCTCACGCAGATAGAACCAGGTAGATTCTACATTGACAGCAGAAAGATACAAAATTATAATAAATAGGTTTTCGCTTGAGAGCGATCAGTACACAGCTGTACCAGTTCTGATTAATTCTTCAACACGCTTCCTAATTAATCAGAGACTACTGAACTGTTTGGGGTGTTTATTTTTCTTTTATTTTTTTTTTTTTATTTGGTTCAGATTGAATTGTTGTTTGAAAAAGATGGGTCCATTGTATGAAAGAAAACTCACGAGACCCTCTCTTTTCTAACGGGTGTCGTCTCCTCGTGATACGAAAGCGGAATGAAAAAATGAGAGTAGCATGCCTACCTTCCAGCCCATATTTTCGAAGAATGTGCACAGCCGCATCTGTCCGGTCGTTTTGCCGCCACAAGGTCCTGTAACACACAAGCATGACAATTTTTTCTCAGTCGACAATTACACCTCTCTCTCTCTCTATATATATATATATTCAGTTTTCAAAAATAATTGTACGCTCGGTAAGTGGTACGTCTGTTAAAAATTTTAAAGAACAACGTACAATTCGAACGTACTATAGGTCGGCCATTGATGACATGGAAGTGGTAATTAGGAGGACGAATACACTTTGCAAAGATGGCGGTTTGTAGTCACGGTTAAGATTATCCTTGCGGGAAGAAGCCGAGACGAGAAGGTGATGACGTCGCTAACCTTGTCTTCCGCGATACCACGTGGTTATTGAACTCGCCGAGCGTAAATAGAAATGACGTTGTGGACACACGGTCACTCTACGAATGTTGGGAAATGGGACTACATACTTTGTAACCTGACCCTCGCAACATTCTTTGTTTGTCAACATCTGAAAGCTTTCGATGTTCGAAGAAGTTAAAAAGAACTCTTACTTTGAAAGTCGATGTTCTTCGTTTACCGCTACCGCGTTTATCGTTTTAACGATCCACGTGAAACGTTAACGAAGTGTACGTTTAATGGTTAGGTTAGATGTACTTTGCACTACCGGTTTCTAAACACGTAAAGTACTACGTCTGTTCGTTGTTCCGAACAATGTTGACGAACGAGATGATGTGAAAGAGATGAGAAGACGTTCCCTGGGACAAGATGTATTCGAAATGTACTAATATGTTCTGAATGTGCACGCCGTTGAGTCTCCGTGCGCCAGCTGTACACGCTCATTGACTCGTATAACTGGTTTGAATTGTTGCGCGTTGACACGAACGCGACTTCATCGATATCGACGAGACGTAGACGCTCTTTGCGAAGGGGTCTTTAGTTCCGAAATTTTCATTCGTGCCGTAATAAAAGAAATATTTTATATCGAAAGATAATCTGTTGTAGTAATTGAAAATATTTCAAAAGTAGGTTTAATTGATTTTCATTGACTGTCGTGTAAAGTGACGATTGAAAATAATTCGAAAAAATATATAAAAATGAAATATGAAGTGGTTTACTGTGAATGTTAGCATAACACCTATGTGTCACGTATGATCAAGATTTATTAACAGTTATGTGGCAACGTTATCTTGGTAATGCTTCAACTACCGATACCTTTTTAATAATCTCCTAAAACGCGCACGCGCGCAACTGATAAATTTTTCCACGCTGGAAAACCGTTGACGGTTGGTCAACGTACTAAACGTCGTTAAACCCAATTGTACCGGCGCAAATATTTGATCGAGACGATCGAGCCAAATCGAGGGATGGATCGTCAATCATTGCGATCTTTTATTTACAGAGGCTAATAATTCTAGAACAGTTGCTCTATTTCTGTCATTGAAATTCGTCTCGTTAAATTAGTCGGTGACTCGAAACATAAAAAAAAAAGAAGTTAATATAAAAGTTAAGTGGTTTAAGTATTCCTTCGCGTTTATCGCACGCATGATATGTAGAGTACATGTGATCTTGTCAAAAGGATTTTTACAGAAATGTAAATAAAACGCTGTGATTGGTTCGTATTGATGTTTCGAACGCAAAATAGAACATACGCAGAAAACAAATTTTTATTTGCAATATACTGTCACTATGCTATCTAAACAACTCGAGATATACATGCACTTATGTTTGCGGCGAATTAAATTTAGACACGTTGAGCTGTCAATGTTTTAGAAGTAGTCATGTTTCGTTCGAAATAACATTTCGAGTCACTTCGATTTCGTCTACGTTGTCTTGCTCATTTTACAGTCACGTTTGAACGGGCATTTATGAAATATTTACGACAAGCAATTTTAAGCAACTACTATACGTGGCCTGTCCAAAAAGTATCCCCGACCTTGTACTGTAGCGGGAAGAAGTATCATTCCTGGTTAATATCGACGGTGCCCCCTTCAAAATATTGACCTTTGGAAACCACCTTTTTTCAGCGATCCTCCCACTTATGGAAACACGCCTTAAAATTATCTTTACGAATAGCGAACAGCTGCCTCGTCGCATTCCGTTTTATTGCTTCAACGTCCGCAAATTTTTTTCCTTTAAGAGGATTTTTCATTTTGGGGAACAACTAGAAATCGCAGGGAGCTATATCAGGACTGTACGGAGGCTGGCAAAGTTGCAAAATGCCGTGTTTCACCAAAAATTGTTGAACAATTTGCGACGAATGGGTAGGTACGTTGTCATAGTGAAGCATCGAATCATCACTTTTCCATAGCTCAGGCCTTTTCTTTCGCACTGCGAAACGTAACCGTTTCAGAACTTCCAAGTAATACTCCTTATTCATTGTCTGAACTATAGGAGCGAATTCATGATGAACAACACCTTTGTAATCAAAGAAAACAATAAAAATTGCCTTAACGTTACCTAGACTTTGTCAACTTTGAGTAGATTGTTTCGAAGATCGAACTTTTGTCTCAGGGTTATAGCTAACGACACTTTACGAATCATACTAATAGTTTTCAAACAAGAATGCACTTTTGTTCAACACGTTCGGTCATTATGAAGCGCGACACTCACAAAACTTGATGCGGTCGCATGGCTAGGCCACTTAGTACGACGTCGCCTCTAATATAAACATGCGAAAACTGGACAATGTTGTGAAAAACAAAATTTTATTTCAAACGGACACAAATTGATGGTAAAACGTTACACGCAATTTTCCCCATATTCCCATAGGAATTCAATCAATATTTTCACATCAGTGATAAGGTAGAAAAGCATCCTGTCGTGTAACGCAATTGTCACGCAAAAGAAAAACTGGAAGGGACTAACGTTTCATTCGTCTGCACGTAAAAAGAACATAGAAACGAGACATATGATAAACAAAAGGTATAAATCAAACAAGAGGATTACAAAGTAGTTGTTGGAACACGTGGTTTCCGTAGACACGTACAGTTTGCCCTCTTCGTACAGATATTCCACTCGCTGACGAGTGTGTGGTTTAATCGAAAATGCATGGAAGCATCCATTCGAGTGAACAAATGTTTTTGAAACAGAATTACGATACATGAAACGCATGACAATGAAACGTTTTCTTAAATATAGTAAAAATGCGTAGCTTACCTCCTGTGAGCACCACTTTGTACAGCCGCTTTTGATCCATGTTGAATGAACGTTCTTTTAGAGGCCTTTTTCGCCGATCAAGTCCACGAGGTGTTTCGAGTTGATGTCGATGGATCGGATGGATAGGTCTTGGTCTGGCACGTGAATGGTGTCTACGGTTGCAACGAATACTACATAAACACTTCACCGTACATTTCGATATATCGCGGAGTCAGATACGTCGGAGACATGGGAATGAAGTGATCTGATATCTTGACGCAGAAAGACAGTAAACTGCCACTGAAGGAGCCAGACGTCTGCTTCGAAATGAAGCGATCCGCGGCTTTAGTTAATCGGGTTATGCTACTCCCTGTGCATGACGGTCATGCGCGACACGGAAACGCACGAATTTACGAATACTGTACACGAAACTGCCCGAGTGATACTGTACGTTCTATCGCTTAGTTCGATCTCTGGTTAGTTAGAAATTTCAAACTTCGTAAAACTTTTTTGACCTTTTTGACCTTCTTTTCTTCTTTAAATAACGATTAACAGAAATTTTTATTTTTGAAATTGTACGATTTACACGATCGTAACGTATTCGTCAAGAGCAGTGTTCTTGTCATCTGTATAAACGCGATGTGTTCGACATTCGAAATATTCTTGTTAAAGGCTTAGCGCGCTAAATTTGATTGTGGTAATATGATAGAAAGAAACGTAAATGCAGTTTATATAGCTTTCCATTGGTTCTTACTTGTACAGTGGTTATAAATTACAGCAACTTTTATTTTTAAGCGTCCAATAAGACGTTTCCACTTGTTTTCGCAACAAAATTAATTCACAATGATTTCAGTTACAATGTACATACACCTGTAGAACATGTTCATTTTCGCAGAAAGGGTATTACGTATTTCTGTTTGTTCGAATATAACTAAAAGATACAAGTGTTGATTTACATTTTCAATCGATTTACTACTCATATTTAGAAATATACAATTAGTCTTACGTATTCGATTTCATTTATAGCATATTTTCGAATTCTCTCGCTTTATGTTCTCGCATCTTGTCGTATTTATAGAATCGAGGGAAATTATCAAAAAACATTATCAGTCTATGAATATTCTATGAACAGACTTAGTCCAACACCTAAGAACCTTATCGTTGACGTTTCTCGCGTTCAATCCTGAACGTGTGTGTACACGCATGAAAAAGGTCTGAAACAATCGCACTGCGCTTATTATAAAATACTTTCACCGTTATTGTTAATGAGATAAAGGCAACAAGTGGAATTAACATCCAGACCGACAAATGAGATCTTAATTGCTTCGTTAATGTACCAATTTAGATTTCAATGTAGTCTTTGCACAGCTGTCTGAAAACCCCTGCGTTTGACAAGGATCGTTTAATCTGAAGTTGTAGCGCACGAAGTTCCAAGTGTATTACACTTTTATACATAGTCGCTTTCTACAAAGTGGTTTCGTTACATCGTTTTCCCAAAATACATTTACGCAGTGGTCAATCACTTGTTCCACTTGCAATTACATTTACAATTTCAGAAACGAACAAAGGATTTTATATTAATCATAGTGTTTGCATTAAAGTATAGGTGTGTAAAGAGAAGTAAACAAGGTTAACTGTATTTAATTTCCCATTTACAATCTATCTTTGCTAATACACACCTCTATTGTGTACCTCCTTAGATTTATATAAATACCACCGAGAATTGAACAATGAGAAGAGAAACAACCTTTGTGCCTATTTAAATATAATTCGCGTGACTTTTGTATGCTGATACCGTTTTACGATGTTAATGTATCACATACAACAGTAAATGCAATTAGTTTATCTAATTTTAAGGCAAGAGGTTCCTTTGCGTTTTTACACAATTCACGCGTAATTTATCATTCTCCTTTTTCTACCATCACTTTGTTCCCCGAATTTACCTTTCGATAAAATCGTGCCTACTAATAATAGCTAGATGTATTCTGCATTGCGTACTTAATAAAATAACTTTTAAGCTATTTTATATTCCGAAATTGGTACACATATACGTCGTCTGTTTGATATGAAGTTCTGTTTCAGAGAAACTGTGAATGCAGAGAAAGGCAACGTTTTATATCTTATGGTTTTGTGCCAAGGAAGAAGCAACCATTCGCGTTTCTTTCTTCTTATTTATTCAAAGATAAGAATCATTTATACAAGTTGCTTTCGTTGATTTTTTCAACTGAATTTTATCTATAAAACTGAAGATTGGAAACCCTTTTTTTTTTGGTTGATGTTATAGTTCAAATTCATTTTACTGCTTTGCATTAATTCGTTATATTCGAAGGTCTACAATGGAGCACTTTCTGCTATTCAATTTCCCTGAATAGAAGCATTGGATAAAAGTATGTTATGTCGTATAAAAATTAGATTTAGGACTCGTTTCTTCAACTGAAAAAAAAAACAATATTATCCGAGCATACAAACTTATTCTGCCTAAAAATGTGTGTATATTTTGTACTGTTGATCTGTATTTGAAATTAATTCACTTCATACTCTACAATAGTTCCTCTAATTATACGATGTAATTATTCGTTATTATCGATAGAAAAATTTGATCTAACACGCAAATTGTGAAAAACAATCATTATACATTGAAGTACATTATTATCATAATATTAAATTAATGTATTCTTAAACTGAATCATCGTTATAGCCAAAATAAAACAATATTTTTCGATGTTCCTTTTTACATGTCCTTATTCTTCTTTTTTTCTACTTCAAGATATATATATATATATATGTTATATTTTAACGCGCAACTAATTTTGTCTATGACCGCGTCATTATTGCTTATTTACATCTATTTATATACAAAGATATAATAAATTTTATTGGAGGACGTATTGTAGTGCGAAGAAAGAAAGAACAGTATGATGACGTTTTAATAAGGTATATGGATTTTTCGCTTATATTGAAAATTTACATACGTTATTATAACCATTCCAGTTGCAAGCGTAATCTAACGTATAACGTAAATTAGTGAGCATATTTGCCAGTAATCTTCTATAGCATGTAATATAATTTTTTGTTAAAAATTTAAGTAAAACACAACTTAAAAATCTAAGTACAAACGTGAACTAAATTAGCAAAATTTAGATAAAAATAGACGACGAACGGAAAGATACGTTAACATAAAATATCTGCTATAAAAAGTGATTTAGTAAAAGATAAACGGGGCAATTCTTTCGGTAAATAAAATTTTCCGTATAAAAACCTTTAACTTCAATTGTTGTCTATAGATCACTTATGAAACCAAACAAATTTCAATGAACTTTGAAAAGAAGAAAAGGTTCGTAGAAACATTATATTCTACCTGTTATACCACCGATAATAATTGCACGATTTAAATACATTTGAAGAAAGTGTTCCATTGATATTTTTCATAGTAATTGCCCAACATACTACGTACGTTTTCATAAAAATATCATAAATAAATTATGGCAATAATGTTCAACAATTACAATATTCATGCAATAAATAACTGGTAACAATGATCGAAGTAGTAACGCTTTGAACGTGTAGCAAATATCAAAAGATTATAAGACTCTTTGCACAAATTTTAGAGGTATACCCATGTTAAGTAATTCATCCTGTGATCTATGTCCTATGTCTGGATAGTAATAAATCAATGCTTGCCAACACATTTCTGATAATTTTGGGATTGTTAACCAAACACAATATACTGCAGCTGTTCTTACAATCTGTAACAAAATGTTTCCAAACAATGTAAAAAAAAAACTGTACATTGAAATGGTAAAGTAAGGAGAGAAGAAAGTTATAATAACCTTGTCATTTTCTTTAATAATACCACCAAATGTGTACATGCATCCTTCTGGGGTAAGGGCTGCAGAATGAAAGTATACAGGACGTGGAAGTCTACATTTCCTTAAACATGTCCATTGCAGATGATTCAAATCTAATCTCCAAACATCAGAGAAGATGTGGTTATCTCCATTATACCCTCCTGAGATTACTACCGATGTAATTCCTGTTTTGTCATCTGTATATTGTACAGAACCATGGCAACGCCTAGGTTGAGGAAATGTATTATCATTATTATCACCAAATGTGTTTAATACTATCCACTTCTTTGTTTCTAAATCAAAAGCAGGGATTTCCTGAATAAAAGTTTAATATAAAAATTAGAAATTTTTAATTTACATTTAAAAGAAGTAACCTTAAATTGGTTTTAATTATTTTATGATTTACATACTGCAAATCCAAAAGAATCTGTAGCTGTTCCTCCTCCTAACACATATATAAGTTTTCCATCGAATGCTAATTCGTGTCTATACCTTCCTATAGGTTCACTTTGATCTTTCCCAGAACATATATAAACACTTTCCCAAAAATGAGTCCTCAAATCAAATCTATAAATATCACAAGTGTATTCGTATCCTGTAGTACCACCAACAGTATATAAATATAATTCATGATATATTAAAGCTTGTCCATATAGGGGTTCAGGGAGATCTCCCTTTGGTGACACTTTGTATATTTTACCACTATTAACATCATACATATAAAGGTGATTACTGCAGGTATGTCCAAATGGTACACCAGTTCCACCATGCACCATCAGGGTATTACCCCTTAAAATCACAGCATTAGATGCTAATTCATTGGGCATATTATCTCGACCTGGTAGAAGCTTCCATTCTTGTGTAACAAAATTAAATTTCCAAATTTCCTTGAAAAGTGGTTTACTAGATCTCCATATACGGTCATTTATCATATCAGGATCACGGTCAAGGATGCATGGATTAAAACCACCATAAGAATATAAATTCTTACGATCACAGACTATTCTATGTCCACTTCTAGGCTTTGGCCGTTTCTTACTCTGTGTTTCATTTATCGTGAAAACAAACGGTTTGAACTTATACATGTTTGTCAATTAATTGACAATAAATCAGCTTCTATGTAAGTAGCTAAAAATACTAATGTTTGCCTTTTAAAAAAAATCGTGTAGCATTCCTACATATCGTTTTGCGTATATTCAAGCGATTTACTTGTCGCTTTAACGTTTATACGTTACAATAAGTGTCGGGCTACTTTGAATAAGCATATGAGTATTGTTTCAATGCGCATATAAATTTTTTAACACAGACATCTTGCACGAACACTGCAATACATCGGGTGTACTTTTCTCACATCGACAAACATGGCGTAATACAACAAAATCCTTTGTCAGCTCTATCGGCTGTTTATGCAACGAACACAAGATATTCTATTCCAATCGTTTCACTTTAAGAAATCACTTTTTTCAGCAACGCACATACAACTGTAAACTCATGCTTCATTTAAAACTGCAAACTTATTCTTTTACGCTTATGCAGTAATACAACTGCGACTGCGCGACGGTGATCAGGTGACTGATCATATTCAATCGTATTCATCAGCAGCTTATCGTGTAAATTACTTTAATCTCGTGTAAATAGTGAAATGTCATAGGAAACTTAATTACAGGTTTTATAAACTTTGCTTATTACCAGAATTATTTATTTAAACGATAAGCAAGTAGATATTGTATTTCAGGTGTGGCCTTATATGGCCCTTATAGCACTTCCTGCAAAGTGTAATAGTTTAACACAATGTCACTGCTTTATTTGTAATAGACAAAAGTATTTGTTTTATGCATTAGTTAATTTCAACGAATTTTTTCTATTTTTTATTTTCCCTTTATCACTTCTATCACATTTTTCTATCATTTACAACTTTAAATATATGCGATCCTCAGACTAAACTCTCGCGTCATCTATCGATAGTACGTGTAAGTACTGTGAATTCTAGTTTTATTAGCTGTCGGTAAATGTTTACATATTTTAGGTATGAAGATATTAATTTATAAAAGAAAAGAATCAATCGAATATCACGGGACATCGTGTTTTAGGAAATTTTTCAATTTTATGTGCGAGTAGAAAAAAAAAGAGCTAAAGTAATAACTTTTGCAAGTAAAGGTCCAGTTAATTTATCCGAAACCGTAACATTATCCTCCATGTCCTCTTGCTCATTTATGGTATTCATGTTCGAATATACCGTACCCCGTGTCAAGAATTTAATGCTATCGCGTGAGAGGGCCGGGGCAATTAATGCCGCGAGCGGTACGCTTTCGTTAATTAAACCTGCGCAAACATCGAGGAAAAATTATGAATGTCGCAAATTACAGGAATATTAATTGAAACACGATAAAACCTTGGTTATTAATTCTCTTGGTCTTAAGAGAGGCACACATTTGTCCTACTAAAATTCTCTGAGTGTTCGTCATTCTTTGCAATATTACATGATTTGCGTCTAAATGACCGAGATCCTGGGCAGCTTTCCAACACTGCAGCCACATGGAATAGGAAAAATATCCGTTATCAGATCGTTTCCTTCTGAATATTTCAGACTTTGAAATGCCGTTGCAATAAACGTCCTTTTTCTTCCTTTCCACATCTTTATTTTTTTTTCTCTTTTCTTTTTTTTCAAGAAAGACCTTACTTTGAAATTCGAGGTACGTTTAGCGAGAACATTTCCTGAAGCTCTCGACTGTTCGGCCCCTTTTATCTTCGAGTTTTTCCTCAGGCTGCGTCCGTACTTTATTTCCGAGACTTGCATAACATTATCTTCGTTCGACTTGCTCGCAACAGTGTCAACACCTTTATGGTTACTCTTATTTTTATTACCACGAGGAAACTTTTCATCGTATTTCAACTTCTTCGACCTAAACAGAATTTACACAGTCAAACGTGTGAAATGTATGATTTTTTTTCATTTCTTAAAAAATATAAAATGTGTCACAATTACTTGTTGTCCACATGCAAAACGTTTAAAGCGGTCCCTGTATTCTTCTCCTCTTCAATTTCTCGCTCGCCAGAGACAACAGGTGCTATCACCTCGATATTTCTACTCCCACCACTTTTCTTCCCCGTATCGAGAAATATATTATTTCGTATCTCGGTAACTAGAGCGTCCAGACATGGAAGTGACGGCATTTCCAGAGTCAACGCGATTATCTCCTTTTCTAGAATTCCCTCGAATCGAAGATCTATCTCGTCCGCCATTGTAGCTACTGAAATCACAAAACTCTCCGGTGACGAGATCAAAGACTGACCCAGCAGATACTGTACAAAACTCTGTATTTCCGGACGGAGCAACATCTTTTTTATTTCATCCGTATCTCTAGCGGTGTCTATTATTCTCTTGGATTTCTCCGGGTTCACGCGTTGAAGAACCTCGAATACAGCCTGTACCAAAGCTTGAAGCTGATAATTCACGAGAATCGGTACAACCGTGTACTCTTTGTTTCGAAGTTCGATAGATTTGATCGGTGCGTTCAGATAGATACGTTTTCGAAATTTTTTACTCTCCACTTCCGGACTGAACGTGGCGGAAAGAAGAGAATTGGTAGACGGCCGACTACCGAACATACTACAAAAAGGAGATTTGGTACTGGAAGTCTTCGACGGAGCTTCCTTCATCGCTCTAAAGCTAGACTTTATCGTAACAAGATCTCTAGGCATGATATCGTAATTCTTTCTTCGTTTCGATTTCAGCATAGTGATACCGTGATCGAGCTTGAACGTCGAGCCAATCGTGGACCTCCTCGATGGACTACGAGTCGATCTGGTAACCCAATTTCTAGTCGATACGTTTGTGGTCGCTCTGCTCAATAAATCGTCATCGTCGTCCAGATGAAAAGACAGACTATTCTCGTCTATTTCGTTCAATTCCATCCTAGATCTATCGTATCGTCTCTTAGCTACACCTTCCGCTAGAGCCTGTTTAATTCGTAGCTCGTGCGAGGCGCCAAGCAGCGAGTAAACATGAGGTGATATACACGGCATTTTCTCGAAACCGTGTAACATTTGTCTGGTATATTTAGCGTTAGAAGACAAAGCTTTCCCGTAGTCGGTGTTCTTCTCCATGTACTGTTTATACTTATCCTCGAACTCGCGTATCGTTTGATCCTCTAACATCTTCTTTCGTGGATCCTCGTGAAGCTTGACGTTCACAGAGACCGGTACAGTGTCCACCACGTAGCACGGTATCAGGTTGTTCCAAGCGCCAGAAAAATGTTTGTTCTTCGCTTGAAAAATCATAATTCGTGAGTTACCTTTTAAATACGCAGGACAAAACCGTGCTACGTACCTCTCTCCAGTAAAGGCGTAACAGGTCTGACAGTGGTGCCGTCGTTGTCGTTCCACTTCGTACTGTGAGCAGTGAGCAGATGGAGGCAAAGAAGTTTGTCAGCGTCTATCTCGTCTCTGGTGAACACTATAGAACGCACGAACTCGTACGAATCCTTCGGTATTTCCTTCTTTTTCGTCGTGCCGCTGCATTCTTTTATGGCCCCGGTGCAATGGTAGCAGAAGCCCGGATTGTGAGTGTCGTACATGCGCACGTTGACAGCCTGCGCGTCAATTACTGTATCGGCGATTAGATCGAGACGATCGAACATTTTCGTAAAATATCGCGAAAGATTAAGCGTATTTTTAACAACGGCATAATTCGACGTTGTAAATTGAAATTAGAAATGAAAAGGAAATAACGTATGTGCGCATCGTTGAGAAGTTCTTTTCTTTTTTTTTTTCCTTCCCGCGCAATTTCCGCGAGAACTTACGTTCGATCCGAAAGATGGCTGCCGAGACTCCAAGTTCTTGTGACGCGATCGAAACCGGTGCCTCGCAGTCTCTATCATCCTCAAGTCCGACTTTTCCACCTTCTCGAGTTTCACAAGTTCTTGCGCTAGCCTTTGACGGTTAATCTCGTTCTGCTTAGCAAGCTTGTTCTGCAGCGTTGCATTGGGTTTCATGGTCGTAGTTGAGATTTTCGTCGGTAGGTAAGTGTCGAGGTTATGTTAGGAGAGAAAAGTCAAGGGTGAAACGGTCCTGCTTTCCTTCCGCTTACGTTCAATTGTGCAGAGACGTGAACGTAAACGCGCTTCACTTCATATCGGATAACACGATTTCCCTTGACTTTCGACCAATTAGAGTTGCAACAGTAATACAGATTAATCGCGATAACGATAATTTTTACTGTTGTACCTGTTCATCTTGGGAATCGTTTAGAAACAGTCTGTTTACACGAAGTCGAATTAGAAACTTGGTTGAACGACGGTTCGATATTCACTTTCGATTCATTTCGTCATGCGTATTGAACTTGTACGACATCTGTAAATATGATAATGTACAGGGAGGCCTAAAAATTCAGCTGACTATGAATCAGTCGAGCCTATTACGTAACGTTGTTAAAACACTTGGCACGACTTGCCCAGAAATGAACTTTTTAAAAGGCTTTTCGTTATTTATAGGCGAAAGAATTTATTTATCACGAACAACAGGAACATGGTAGCAACGAGTTTGCGTCGTTGAAGCTGCTACGATCATAACAAGCATAAATACACGCTAATCGTGCCAATTGTGACCGATTGCTTTCCTTGGATTTCTCGTGTCAACGACGTTCATACTCGAGACGCCACGTATGTACAATTCAATCTTCGAACAATGGCTCGCGCGTTTAGTCGAAAAGCATTTTTTCCTATTTGAAAACGTTACGTAGTGTGCATAACAATTCTAACAAATCATCACGGATATCGATTTGTCCTCGTGCGCGTTGATCGACACACTTCATAAATAATACAGGCGAACGAGTTTCGTAATCGATCCGTGCACAATCGATCGTTAATATCGGCTCTTCAAGAATTGCTGACTTTCGAAAATTTCACTATCCTTATCTAGATTCACGAAGCTAATTAAGGAGAAGCTATGTCGTACACATTCTTCGCAAATTTGGTATTTCGTGTAATTATCCTGCAATTACGCGTAAGCTCACGCAAGGCGGTATTTCTATAATCGATAATGATCGATGCAGCACGTTTCACATACACTATAACTTTCGCACCTTAACGTTTATTTTCCAGTCTTATACGTATCCTGTACGTCTGAATGCCAAATAAAGACGAGCATAAAAATATTAGCATTTCCATTGTATAGGTTAGAATAATTAAAATCGATATGCGATAATCGAAACAGGCATTCCGGAAATGCAAAACAGCGCCATAATCGGTTGCCCGCCAAATAATGCGCTGTAATTGGTGGACCGTGTAACCACAGTATCGCTGATTGGTCAGATCGAAGGACCAGATTGGCGGAGATTGATGCGCGCGTCAGTGTTTCGTCGTCAATCGTCCGTGCAAGTTCGATCTGCATTTCGAAATGCGTATCGTTCCCGCGAATATTTACTGGTGTATATTCACAGTGAAGACGCACGAGAGTGACGAGGAGGTGCGCCGCGACGGTTAGGAAGGCCGGCGGTGTGACGGGCCGCGTGG